TTACTCACCCCGCTGGATGCGATTTGTTTCAAACAAGAAGACATGGTTTCTGGATGTATAACATCCCTAGGTTATTTTGTTGATTTGAAGTTCTTTTAAATGTATTTTTGTTTGCATGCAAGTGTTAGCATGTTTAAGTTTTACTTAGAAAGTTATAATACTTAGTTAAGTTAAATATGTCGTTTTTGCCTTAAGGCATGTAATGTGAACGTATGTATATTTTCTGAAGCTCATTTTATATGTATGAGGTGTGGGGACAAACACCATTTCGTTTTCGTCTTGACACTTTAGTTTTGTAAATTTCCTTTAAAGGCAATAATTATTGAAAAATAGGAAAACATAAAGTTTTAAGTTATCATTTTCAAATCGGATGGTATAAAGTGTGCACGAGCACACTCATTAGAGTTCATTTAATATATTTGAGGTATGGCCAAGGGCCAAAAGCCTTTTTGTTTTCATTTATGTGTTTTGGTTTTTTACTTTTAAATGTCATTTTAGGCAAAATTTGAGGTTTGATAGGTCGAATTTTGTATCGGACATACTTGAAGTCACGGACCATTCCCGCACGCTTTAAAACACTATTTACGTTTGCGTGTACAATCGTTTTAGCCCACAACTTCATATTTGTCAAAATGAACACTTGAAGCAAAACTCCATTTTAAGTTTTTTGTCAAAACTGAGCACAAGGGTATTTTGGGAATTTCACATCAAAATTAAAATTTTCTTTTGACATGGTCAGGTAGAAAATTTGATTTTAAGGAGGGTTTCTTCTTTGTGTTTTTTTCAAAAAAAATTCATCTAAGGGTGAAACAGCTCTTTGTTCTGAAAATGGGTTGCTGTCAGCTGCTATGTTAGCCGCGAGCACAGCGTGCGAAAGGGTGCGCGCGCATCGGTGCCCTTACGTGCCTCCCTCAGCCGCGACGACGCCTATTTTTGTTTTCGCTCTTTCTTCTTCATCCGGACTCCGAATCAAGTGATTTTTGAGTCTAACTTCGTTAATTTTTTGTTGTCTATCCAATGATATGCTCGGTAGTACCCACATATTTTTAAAAATTATCATTTTGCCCTTAGGGCTAAACTTATCCGTTTTACTTTAAACGTCGCTTCCGTTTGTTTTCCTTTTATTTTTGTGGCTTTTATGGGAAGTCGTGATTGTGTCTTAGGGTTGATGTACATCTCTCGAGACTTTCGTTTATGTGTGAAAAGACCATTTTGCCCTTGGGGGCACACTTGGTCTATTTTTTTGAACTTTTTTTTCCGCGTTCGTTCTCGTTGAGTTTTGTGGCCTCATGGATGGTCACTTTGGCGTCTCAGAGATGTGTAACATCTCTAGAGATTTGGTTTCTATTTTCGCTTCTGCATTCGGGACCCGTTAATGGGTCAAACTTCGATTCATCACAGGACACACTAGCTTAAAAAACCAAGGTCATCACAACAATTAGTGAGAATTTAAGGTAAAATAATATATATATATATATATATATATATATATATATATATATATATATATATATATATATAAGGTCAACCGCCAATAAATTGTTGACACGTGGATGAGGTATAATAACATGTGAGGGGCATAAATGTCTAACAAATTAAGGATAACATGTACTTTTAATAATGAAGCGTAATTTAGGTTTTTTATTTTATTAATTTTAAAAAAAGGGTGTCAGAGCAAATTAAACCAAACCTGATGGGGTGTGATAGTATTTTTGGCTGATGTTTAATCAAATACTACATAAAAGCTATAATATATATATATAAAAGAGAAATTTTGGAATATATATATATATATATATATATATATATATATAAGAGAAAAAAAGAAAAGCAAAGTCATCATATTGTTTTTAGAACTTTCAACATGGATATTTATGTTATTTTTTATACTTATAAAGGTTATTTCACCCCTCTTTATCCAGGAATGTGACGTGTATGATAACGCTTGTAGCAAAAAAATACTTGATAAAACTCACAATAGGCGTCCACCTTGGGAATTGTGATAGACTCAAGATGAACATTTATTTTGGGACAAACTCACAAGATGATATTTTAGGGTGGAGGGAGTAAAATATATATATATATATATATATATATATATATATATATATAAAAGAAGAAAAAAGAAAAGAGAAGAAGTAAAGCCATCATATTGTTTTTAGAACTTTCAACACAGATAGATATTTATGTTATTTCTTATAATCATCAGGAATGTGTATTGCGTGATAAACAGCAGTTAAAATGGCCCCACTTTGAGAAAGATAAAGGCATTTTGTAAATGGGCCTTTGCTTTTTGAATGGAGCATTGGACCTCCCCTTCATTAAGCAAATGAGTGAAATTTGAGTTCTTTTTAAAAATCTTGCTTAATAAGTAATTGGGGGCCTAAATAATGTCGAAGGCTGGCCCATTAAGATTGTGAAGGGGCTTAGAGGCCTCATGAGAGCATTAAGCTCATGAGGCCCATACCCATTTAACCCGCATAACATATCATACACTTAAAGGCCTCGTTATTGTTTCTAAGCCCACTATTGAACCTGTTAACCAAGTCCATTAAAAATAGTACAGAGCATGCTTAATGCTCATTGATGATTAAAGCCCATAACCAATCATGGAAAATTATAGCGATCTAAGATTTTGGTTTGGAAGGAAAAATAGGGGAAAAGGGGAAGATGGTCTTCACCAAATCCAATTTAAATATGGATTTTTCTAACTTCGCATTGGGACATTTTATTTGAAGTTCTTGCAATGGCCACGTTTGTCTAGCAAAACCCATATAGTCTTTTTATGGATCTCAATAATTCTCAGATTTATGCGTTAAAGGAACTTGATAAGAAGGGTAAAAGTGTCATGTTATTGCATTTTACTTCTAGTTTGTGTGCAGTAGTCCCACTTGCACACTTGATTCGATGGTAATACTATTGGAATCATTACTGTATGTATGGCATAAAAGGAGAGGTGATATATGGATTTTCCACGAAATGAAAAAGACGTACACATTTTGACACCACGTTTTAAATAAGTGCAGTACCTATCGTGGTTCTGAGTTTTGTTTCAGTGGTTGTTTTGTTTGGTTCCTGTGCCTCATATATATAAATATAATTGTATTGATAGTCCATTAGATTCATGACGGTCCTATTAATTAGCTCCACATGGCATTTCAAGCATAATTTGATGGTGACAAGGTCCACGTGCTTCATGAGTAAGAAAGCTTTTTTAATGCCATCTGCCGACACACTGTAAAGTGCAACTGTTAAACACACTATTAAACAATTTAAACTGACTCAATTGCCTTTTTCGCTTGATGTCATGACTTTATAATTGTTAAATTATCAGAGGCACATCCTACAATGTTCCAATTTAATAATTAATATTCCTTTCCTTTCCATTTAAGTGTTATTTTTGGATAATAGTTCTCTATAAGTCTCAAAACAGTTTAATACTTTGAGAATTGTGACACATGTTTTACTGTAACTCATAATGTGAGTCTCAATTTTTAAAGTGCGGAATTATTTTAACACAAAGGAGGAAGTAATTTTTAAGAGAACATATAAGATATGTATTATCTCTCTAAAAAGTTGTTAAATTATATTTTTAAGTTTTGAATATTTAAATTTAAAATTTAAAACTTAAATAACATATATGGAAAGATGTGAAATATATTATTTAAAAAAAAAAAGTGAAAATTATTTTGGAACAGATAAAAAAAATAAAAAAAAATAAATAATAAAAAAAAACATGACACTTATTTTGGGACAGAAAGAATATGATACAGTACAAAAAACAAGAGTGTCTTAAAATTTATTTGAAATCAACCTCACAATTTTGTCCCAAATTTTATTTCAACACCAAATAATACACACATATCATTAGTATATTGATTATTCTCTTTGTTTCATATTAAATATTCAATTCTAAAATTTTAACTAACTATTATCTTTTATTATTTTTTAATTTTTTTTAGTCACAATCCTTTCATATATTTATATATCATTTCTATTTCATATTAAATGTTAACTTCAGAATTTTAATCCATAAAACTTGTGAGTCACATTTTGTAATAATTAATATGAGATGGAGATAGTGCTAATCACCGTTCACTTTAAAAAAGAACGAGACAAGAGACTAATCTATAAAAGTGACCTCTCAACTTGATCGATTAAATAAGGAGAAAAAAAAAAATATAAGTTTGATGTGATTGTTTTTTAAATGGTCCAACCGGTGAATAGTTGCATGAATATATGGCACAAGACTTAGCAATGAAGTTAGAAGTTTATTATAAAATATATTCTAATATATTGTTCTTTATATAAAAGTGAATATAACATAAAATTATCTATGAGTAAATTAGTTCATAATCCATGCTTACATAATCTAATTTTGGCATAATATATAGACCAAAAAAAATTTATTTAAAAAAAAAAGTTAAAAATAATTTGAGCAAGAAAGAAAGATAAAAAATGTGTTTCAAAAAGTGAAGATTAAAGAATTCTAAATTGGAACTAATTTACTTGAGCTATATATGTATGTGGAGTCATATTTTAAATCTCTTTAATACTTTTAATTCAACTATTCATAGACTTTTAATATAGAAATTACGTTTTGATTTTACCATTTTAGAACTCTAATCTCTATTTTTTTTTTCTATCTAATAAATCTTAATTATCAATAAAAAAGAAAAAAAAAACTGTAAAAATAAATTATAACAAAAATATATGATCATTACCAAAAGGAGTTCATGCACCTACGTGTTAAGCTACTTCAACTCCACGGTAGATATGTTGCTGTACCTTATATTGATGTCCGTTAGCCAATCAATAGGACACGTGGCGAGCATGCAAGCTGCTAACATGCGTATAACTCAGTGGGACCCACCTCCGTGATTAACACCATGATTGCTACACTGTAATTGTATCCATGTAATAAAGTGAGCCTCACTTCATCACACATAATCTGAGCCGTTGATTATTATTACTTATATCACGATAAAGCAAAAAATGCTTTTCCTTTTTTGTTTCCTTCATCAATGGCGGTTTAGATCTCCCATTTGTACTTCCTACTTGCTTTCTACTCAATATAACTAACTCTATCGAAGACGACCCAAATCAGTTCAAAGTCTATGCTTGGTAATAAACGCGTCTATAGTCTTTTACAATTCTTCAACCATCTTTTCTTTTCCTCGTAGATTCTTTTCTTCCAAACACCCAAAACTCTTTCCTTTTAACCCTGTTCAAATTCAGCTAAAAACCCAGAAAAGATACGGAGCAAAAATTTGATCTTTATATATATATATATATATTTATGATCATCCTAGTTTAGAATTACTGGGTTTCCAGAGAAAAAGACGTTGGATTTGATTTTCTGAGCTGGGTCATTTTCTTTCAGTGGGTTGAGAGAAAAAAGATGATGGGTACTAAGCTTGGAGCTTTGGTGTGTGTTTGGTTTGTTTTATACGGGTCGTGTGTGGGTAGATTTGTGGTGGAGAAGAACAGCTTGAAGGTTACTTCACCTGACTGGTTGAAAGATGTTTATGAATGTGCAATTGGGAATTTTGGAGTTCCTCAGTACGGAGGAACTTTGGTTGGTACAGTGGAGTACCCAAAAGCCAATCAAAAGGCTTGCAAGAGCTTCGATGATGTTGAAATCTCCTTCAAATCCAAGCCCGGAGGCTTACCAGTCTTTCTTCTTGCCGATCGAGGAGGTTAATATATATATATATTTGAATTTCATGTCTTCGATTTATGTTTTCATCACTTCTTTGCTTTTACTATTATGTAGCCATTAAAACTGGTAGTGTATTTCTATGAATTTTGAATTTTTTATTTTTATTTTTAGGTAAATAAATCACACACACACACTCATTTATTTGGAAGGAGGAGATACCACTTGGGCTAAGCACATGGTGTGAATTTTGATTTTTTTAGCTTATACTATTGTTTATGTGATTTCATGTTTGGTAAATGATGAAAAATAGCTAATTCTACGTGGGTTGGTTGTGAAATACTGCTATAATGGTTTATAATGTATTATATAGAAAGTTTTGTGTTTCACAATTTCAGTGACATGAATACTAGAATTCATAAAAGTAGTAACCCAGAAGTTTGTTACAATGTTTAATTGGCAAGTCATAGCTAAGCCCTAGTTAATAACTTCTTTAAAACGCCTTTTAGTTCTTAGGAGTGTAATCAGTTCATGGGAATTAATGTGCTTTTTAGAAGGTTGCATTGGACTTTTAGCTGCATCAGAAAAGTTGATAAAATCACATAGAAATATTGTGAAAGTTAAAGTTAGAAGGCCCTTGCTCCCCTGTACCTTAAATGTCTTTATTTCCTTCAGTTAATATCATTTTATTTTTTAATTGGGACACCATTCATATGGAATATAAGGCAAGGATGATGATCATGATGAACTTAGCTAAAATTGGATACATACATATATATATATATGTGTGTGTGTGTGTGTGTTTCTCTCTGTGCGTTTGTTTTACGAAAGAGAAGCTAATGCAATTATTGGCCCTTAAATTTGTGTTGTCTTGACACAAAAAGTGTTCGTGTATATATATATAGTTCGGTCATTATATATATATATATATATAGTGACTTGGCCAAGTGCGAGGATTGTGAACTAAAACTTGCATGGAACAATGTTTTGGTGTCCACGTGCATTTCTATGATCTTCTCCAACACACCTTGTTTTTAAGCTTGCTGTTCTATGATTTTCTCCAACATACCTTCTTATTTTTAAGCTTGCTGTTCTGTCAGATTGTTACTTTACCCTGAAGGCTTGGAATGCACAGAATGCTGGAGCAGCAGCTATTCTTGTTGCGGATGATAGAGATGAACCATTGATCACTATGGATACCCCAGAAGAAGAGGATGCCCGAGCTGATTATCTGCAGAACATATCTATTCCCTCAGCACTTATTAGCAAAGCTTTTGGGGATAAAATAAAGAAAGCACTATCTAATGGTGAGATGGTTAACTTAAATCTTGATTGGACGGAGGCTCTTCCACATCCTGATGAGCGGGTTGAATATGAGTTCTGGACAAATAGCAACGATGAGTGTGGACCTAAATGTGAGAGTCAGATTGAGTTTGTGAAGAACTTTAAAGGAGCAGCTCAGATACTTGAGCGGAAAGGATATACTCAGTTCACTCCTCACTATATAACTTGGTATTGCCCAGAGGCTTTTATTTTAAGCAAGCAATGCAAATCTCAGTGCATCAATCATGGGAGATACTGTGCTCCAGATCCTGAGCAGGACTTCGGCATAGGGTATGATGGGAAGGATGTTGTGGTTCAAAATTTACGCCAAGCTTGTGTTTTTAAAGTAGCCAATGAAAGCAGAAGACCGTGGCTTTGGTGGGACTATGTGACCGACTTTGCAATCCGTTGCCCAATGAAAGAGAAAAAGTATAACAAAGAGTGTGCTGATCAAGTTATCCAATCACTTGGTAGGTTTTCAATTCAAATTGCCTTAATGTGTCAGTTTGTCGTTTATATATTCACTGATTGTAAAGAATTTCCCTTTGTGTTAAGTGGCTTAAAAGAGGTGAAAGAGCACGCTGAATTTTATGGAAGTACCGTAGCATGCATACAGTCTTCAGTGTAGTTGCCTCCAATTTACTGCATATTACTTAATATTTTGCAATCATTCCTAATTCTGGAAGATTCTGGTCATTCCTCACTACCAAATTGTAAATTCTTAATTAGTCTGGAGTAATTTCGGAAAGACGATATATGTTTCTGAGTAGTTGATTTTGTTTAAAGACTTATGTCTTGAACTAACATTATTCTTTAATAATTTCTTATGGCATTTTTGTCAAATTTGGTCACGTTATGACTAATAACTTCCTGGATCTTTAATTATATGTCCATTTACTTAATAAATCCTTATTTTTCACAGCATGTAATGTACATTTACTTACACAATGAAATATATATATATGTTTGAATGTCATATTCTCCACTACCTTTTGCTGATCTAGTCTGTGTGTTTTCTTGCAATTGCTTGCATGATCAACACATCCACAAGTCTTTGCAACAGTGCCATTCTTCTGTCATCTGACATCAATTTAGTTCACAGAATCCCCAGACTCCAATTTTAGTTATCGATTATTACATAATCCCCAAACACTATCGCATCAAAAAAACATGAGTAAGCAAAAAAGTAAAAAATAGACCAACCAAATAAAAGAACCAAAAATAGAAAAAGAAAAAAGTAAATTACTTACTAATATCTCCAATTTGTTTTCTATTGTAGCTGCCAACTTTTTTTATAATCTTGCCTGATTTGTTGATGTTCGTACTAGTAACATATTTTTCATTAAAGGTGATATTCACTCTGACATGTTCTTTTGTGAATTTATCACTATATATGTATGGGTCTAAATGTTGGGAGTTGTGTATAGTTGTCACTTAACCACTGTTTTTATTCTCTGAAATCAGAAGTTCTGTACATATATGGATTCTGAATCAAGTGCCTTCAGATTTTATGTGAATTCACTGATACATTTTATATGGGAACTATGAGAAAACAATTTCCCTGTTGCTATTGAGTTTTCTGTTTGGATTTATTGGGGTATGAGCAGATGGGTGCTAATTCATCTTCTAGTATCTCAGGTAAAATGACTAATTTTTGTCTTCTTTTATTTTGAGAAATTTTGAAGGGATTGATCTCAAGAAGATAGGCGAATGCATAGGTGATACTGATGCAGATGTAGACAATCCAGTTCTGAAGGCTGAACAAGAAGCACAAGTATGCCTTCTGAGAGACTGAATCCTATTATTATTCTTGTGTCCTTGTCTTCTCAGCAATTCTTTGTGTGCATTGTTTTGATAGCTATCTTGCGTGTTTTCTTGCAATTATGGTTTCAGATCGGCAAAGGCACCCGTGGAGATGTGACTATATTGCCAACTCTTGTTATAAACAACAGGCAATATAGAGGTTAAAGAAACTGTATTTTAGGATCTTCGGTAGCTCTGTTTTTTTAAGAATTGGCATCTGCAACTGTATTTCTGGGTTTTTTCAGGTAAACTTGACAGGGGGGCAGTTCTGAAAGCCATCTGTTCAGGATTCCAAGAGACCACTGAGCCTGCCATTTGTTTAAGCGATGGTCATCACTTCTAAACTTTGTCTTTAGTTACTAAGTTCACTCTCATTTAATTTCTTTTTTCTTCTTAAATTGCTGCCATTCACAATACAATGAATGGGTGAATTCTGAATTTAGGATGAGTCACTCTTTTGGTGTTATTATGGAAGTAACTCCACCATGGATGTTATTATCTCAATTTCAATTAAAACCTCATTAATTAAATAATTGTTACAATCTTCTTGCTTGGTTTCTGATGTTTGGAGATTTCCTTAAATACCTGTTATAATTTTTTGGCTTGCTGTTAGCAGATTTCCTTTCTGAGGAGTTTTGGTTTTTCTTTCTCTGTTGATGCAACCATCTAACCGTAAAAAATATTTGAGGAGCTGAAGCCTTGCCTTTTTGGCTTCATCAAATATTATTTTCATTATTGTAAGAAGATAGTGGAAGTTAGTGCAAACACTTCAAGTTTTGCAAGGCTTCTCGTAGTTGTACTGTTGTAGCATGTTTCATCCACATATGAGTATTAAATATAAGTCTAAATTCTCCATGAAAATGGATGAAACATAGGATGGGAATTTTTTTTGACTTCAGGGGAGAAAAAAAAAATCTTGGAATGTCCACACTTTAATATGCATTTATCGACCAAATTCTAGACCACCATCTAAACTCCAATTTGACATTTTGAATTTCATGTTAGCTGAGATTGTAGGCAGCATATGTAGTATTGGTTTTTGTTCTTTCTGGATGTATCAAGCCATATTTTATAGCATTGCTTTTCGTTCTTTGTGGATGATAAATTCTTAAGGACAGACATGTATTTTGTACAAGTTTTTGTATAATTTATTTATTTATTTTTCATGTTCTTTCTTTGCAGGCATAGAAACAAATGAGTGTTTGGAAAACAATGGTGGATGCTGGCAGGATAAGGTTGCTAACATTACTGCATGCAGGGTACGCAACCATTTTAATGTTCAATTCTTTTAGTAGTCTTCTTGGTTCAATTTGATACTGTATGTTTTTTCCCCATTGGTCTGATATATGTAAGGTTGCTGCAGGATACTTTCCGGGGAAGAGTGTGTGAATGCCCTATTGTGCAGGGTGTAAAGTTTCTTGGTGATGGTTATACTCATTGTGAAGGTAAATGTTTGTATCAAAAGTTTTAAGTTTTTATATAATGCTCATGATACTTGCATTGATGTTTTTATCGGCAAACCCAATGAATTAAAGGGTTTAATTCCAATCTTCCACAAAATTAAATCATTTTTTTTACATGACGTCACTACATTAAATCAAAACCTTCTCATTTTCAAAATTCTCTTTTGAAATACGTTTATGAGAGATTCTTGATTCTCTTTTGGAGCAACTTAAAATTCCTTAATAGTTAATTACTTATGCTAAATTATTTTTGAAAAATTCATCAAAATTCACCAAAATTTATTTTTAAAAAAATCTTTATCGAATTATGTTGTAAAAAATCGGGTATCAGTGCATTTTGGTCACTATTTGCGTGTTTAAAAAAAATATTCATGACTGCAATAACCAATACCGTTATGTAAGATTGATACTCGCCCGAGTCGGTTACACGGCGACTGCGAACCTTGGTCCTAATATATCATATAATGAGGAGTTTTCTTCCTTTTCTGGACTTTCTTGGGAGTTACTAATCTATGATCATGCTATGCTTGGCACAAATGTTTGGTGTATTTTAAAAGGTGTCTTTGACATAAATTGCTGTTGATTTAAGAAGCAAGATATCATTTCATATCAAGGGATTGTCCTATGCTTTGAACTGGCTATAAAACATCTAGATTATAAGACTTCTGCATCACGTGTTCATGAAATTCTTTCAATACATTATGTTCATGTATATATTTTGCTTAAGCAGCCTCTGGAGCTCTACGGTGTGAAATAAATAATGGAGGCTGCTGGAGGAAGACTCAGGATGGCAGGACGTATTCTGCTTGTATTGTAAGTAATTTTAACTTCCTCCCCTCTGTATTATTAATATTTTTATATATATTGATACATATTGTGACATTTTCTTGTTTACTGTTTAAGTGGATATTCACCAAAAAACAGTAATTATAAGGGGTTATTGTACTTTTCAGGACGACCATTCAAAAGGTTGCAAATGTCCACCGGGATTCAAGGGTGATGGAGTCAATAGTTGTGAAGGTACTACATTCGCTGATCTGGTTTTCCAAGTTATGTTGTGAATATCAAGGTTTTTACAAGATTATTGAGCCCATGCCCATTATGTTTAATATTAGTGTCACTCTGCCCTTCTCAATATATACATATTTTTTTGGGGGCGGCCTTTTTGGGCTGTTTGTGAGAATAGTACCTGTGTTTTCATATCTAGGGGTTTTATGAATGTTCCAAAGTATTACTGATCTAGTGGTTTTTAGATCTTCAGTAGTTTCTCTTGTTTAAGTACTTGTGCTTATTTTGTTTTCCCCTTCGCCATACATATATGTGGGTTGATGGGGCTCTGACCTGTCAATGAAACTAATAATCCAGTGATTACCTGGACCCATTAGAACTGCTAATGGCTAATTCACTGAATATCTCACCCCTTTTTTTCTTCTTCACTATGCTCCAGATATTGATGAATGCAAAGATAAATTAGTCTGCCAATGCCCAGAGTGCAAATGCAAGAATACCTGGGGCAGTTACAATTGCAGCTGCAGTGGCAATCAATTGTACATGCAAGAACATGATACTTGTATAAGTGAGTATGAGCATTTCTCTCCTTCTTGAGTGTGAGGACTCTGGTTAGAAATGAAAATTCTATTAATACATCACAAAGAAACACAACTTACAACCCATGGGATTTTCCTCATTTGCTAACTGCAAATTTAGTTGCATTTAAGGCGGGCTTACTGCCATGAGACAGTTGTTGGAATGTGTAATTTTTTGGGGGTATTAGGACTCCAGAGCTCCTCCATATGTAGTAGCTGCAGTTCCATATCTTCTTATTACCCTTTCTATCTATATTTGGTTTATGTGGCTAAGTTTCACTATTGGGAGGGTGCAGGTAAACATGGTAATACAGAGGTCAGCTGGAGCTTTGTTTGGGTTATAATTCTTGGTTTGGCTGCTGCTGGAGTTGGGGGATATGCAGTGTACAAGTACAGAATCCGGGTATGTCTTCATTTCTTTGCTGTAATTTAGGCTTTCAATGTTCCTACCAAAGCAGAATTTTAAATGGATCTTGATCTATTAACTTTCCAACAAGTTCAAGTTTAATAGAAGGGAAGTGATATGGGGCCACGAGTGAAACAGGGAATGAGGGACTGACAATTACAAAATAAATAAACAATAAATGGAAGAAATCCGTTATTAATTGTCCCAATGAACTTAGTACTTGTGGGACATATGTATGAACAGAATGATGATGGAAGGGGCTGAAAATACAGAGATGATGTTAGAGAGATCCTCTGGTCATCTTGAATGAACTCAGTAATTGAGAGACTATGGAAGGTTTTGAATTTGATTGACACACGATGGTAGAGTGAAACTTATCATTTTGTAGGAAGGAAAGATGTAGGAAAGAACCTTCATATTTTCATATTTTTCTCTAATATTACCATTGTATTAATGTCAGTGTGTCGGGTTATTGGTAAAATATTTCCTTTCCCTTCCCTTTGTGGTCAACCAGATATATATATATATAGATGTGTATAGAGAGATGGCAGTCTTTAACTCTTATGGAAATGTTTTTCCTCCCATTTTTTATTTTGATTTTCCGCCGCTTCTCCCAAATGGAGCCACGGAGAGTGAATAAAATAATTTATAAATAATTTTAAAAAGAAAAAAGTAGATCCTTTTGAGCATCTTCACCCTAATCTAGTAGGTGGCGCATCGAACATATAGTTTTGGCATACAAGTTTTCCTCCACCAACCAAATAGTCAAATGTGTGGTTGTCATTTGGCATAGAATCAAATATGTCAAATTTGGCATGCAATTTTTTGATATGCCAAATGAATTGTTCCTATTATTTTAATATATGGGTCTCCCGTATAATTAAAACTTGCATTTTAAAAAACTTGGCAGATCATTTTTTTTTTTTTTTTTGTTGTTTAATTAAAAGACAATATTAATAAATTAAGAAGTTCTTTTATATATAGATATTCCAAAATTTCACATGCCAATTTGCCACATTATAATTTATACCTTAAATGAATTTGACATATGGAATTTGAAGATTCGGTGGAGTTATTAAACAAGCTTAATGTTGATGGATGTTTGAATGGGTTTTTGAAGTTGAACCTTTTGCCCCAAACAGTGGGTAAAAGTCCCTGAAAAAATATTTTGTTACTTGAAGAAATATTCAGATTGTGATCCAAGTGCATGTAACAGTGTTTTGTTATGGTCTAGAATGGTATAACAGCTCTAATATGTTCTCTGACCTCAAATTTTTGCAGAGATATATGGATTCAGAAATTCGGGCGATCATGGCGCAATATATGCCCTTGGATAACGAAGGAGAGATCCCAAATCACGTTCCTCATGGAAGTGCCTGAATTTGGGGTGGTGGTATGTGAAATAGAGCTTGGAAAGAAAAGTTTCCAAAATATGGAGTATCACCAACATCATTTATATGTTGAGGCTGTGTGTGTGTGAGACAATTCCAACTAGTGCATATAACACCCCATAACATTGAAATTTTTCCTTCTTCAGTAGCTTGGTTTAATTTCATTTCTTGGCTATACGATGAAGTTCATCTTTCATTGTTTGTTGTGTACGTTCCCGAAACAGGAATAAACACCGAGTAACTTACTAAATATGGACCTATGGAGTAGGAGCCTAGGGGATCAAAATCCTCTCTTGCGAAACAGTAGACCTGCCCCCCCTAGTGATGTAACATTACGAAAATGTTGTGATGCAAGGTTAAAGTTAATCATCACAAGAAAATGTTGTGATGTAAGGTAGAACATCACAATATTTTTTTAATGTGCATCACTAACTGGAGGGGACAAGATTGTTTTGCATGAGAGGATTTTAGTTGACCCAATCCTTTGTAACAACGTACATTTTCAGTGATCTCTTTCCTCACTCCTAGCTAGTGAAGCCACTAACTAGTGCATGAGATCTCGAATTGAAGCTCCCATTCATTTATGATCGGGGAGTTTTTTTTAGTTATCCAAATAAATTTGAGTTTTTAGTTATTCAGCATTGGGCCAAAGGACTTATGCACCAAGACTCTTATCACTCTTGTTACGAGAAGCTACTCTTTGCGTTCATGCACAAGAATAATAATACAATGAACGATTGACCCCTGTTAATTTGAATAGAGACATTGCATGAGCCAGCATCTTAAAGTATACTTTCGACTTGAATATATATATATATATAGAGAGAGAGAGAGAGAGAGAGAGAGCAGAATCTTGATATTTTCACATCCGAATGGTTCGAAGGGATATTTAAATGGAAATAAAAAATGGTCTACTCCATGCAGGTAAAAGGAAAATATGAAATAAATTTAAAGGAGGTCACACTTAAATTTTTAATACTTATCAAACAAGGGAAATACAGCATTGTGATAATGCAATTCTGTTGGAAGTAAAAAGGGAAATGAAATTACAGACTACTATTCTAAAATCTCCCACACCGAAGGAGAGTGTACCAGCTTATTCCATCACATCTCTATCAACATATCGAACTAGAAGCCCATACAAATGCACTAAAATTCTGAAGCCCGGATTCTGGAATCGCCCCCTTCGGTTAGGTCAAGTAATTTTTGCTTCTCAGTGCATACCTGAAATTCTCCCAGAGCCAACGCATCTTTTGCCTGGGACGTGAAAGAAGACATTAGTGTGGCTGTTCTTGCATGATCTTGCATGAGACAGATTGCCATTGCTTGATAGGGATATAAACCCATGGTTTCAGGTTAAGATGGAAGGAGTGATTTTGTGAAGTAAATATGTTAAATATGACGCTAACCTTGAAAGAAAAGCATTAATTTTGTGTCCCAGTTGCTCTCTTTCCCTGGCCATCATTTAATGCAAGCCTATAAAGATAGAATGCCACCATCACGCCGCTGCAGGGCAAAGCCAATTGTCAGACAAACCAAACCCTTGTCCTTTTAAATAACAAGTGGCCAATATTAAAAGAACTAAGCAGCAATTCCATAAAAAGATGCATCAAATCAGAAGTTCAAATCTTTTCCAAATTGACTTCTCTTGGTATGATAACAAAAATGACTTAGTGTAGCAAATATATAGCTCTCTTGGAAAAATATTGGAGACCCCGGGGGTCTTGACTATATAGTTCCCCCAGCGAATGAATACTCACTTCTTTTTTTTATTGATTTTTTTTTTTTAATAGAAAATAGAAGATAAAACTGATTCAAGCATGCATTAATGATATAGAACATAAACCTGATGGCATCAATGGATTACTTCACACAACAATACCCACCGAGATACCTCAACTAGAAAAATTTAGCTTTGAATTCAAAAACCTTTTTGAGTTCAAAGCTAAAATTTGGAGTACATTGGCACTAAAACCGCTCTCTCATGGACCATTGGGGGATGGGAAGTGATTAAAGACTAGGCTGTTACTTTTATGGGTAGATCAGCTCCTGTTACCCAGGGAAAACTCATCCTAGCAGTTACAGTTTATGAGGTTTGGAGGGAGAGGAATGCTAGATGTTAAAAAAATTCAATAAGTTACTCCACAATATCCCTTTCCTGTTCTTCTCTCATTCATTCTTTAAATATTTGTCAGCAGAAATTATATACTATTAGTTAAAAGTAGCCCCATTTTCCTTGTCTACCAAAGCAACTAATAGTACATATACTGCCCCAGGAACTAAATGAAAATAAATAAATAAAATACCAAATGTTGACAGGAGGCCCTGCTACTTAACCAAACACTATGAGAGGATTCACAAAGTGAGGAGTGCAAACTGAGACAGACAAATGCACGCGGGATCTCTATCGGGTCTTAATATTCATTATCTAGTATAACAAAATGGAACTGGAAGATTATTGGTTACCTTACAAAGGCTGTAAAAAGACTGCCAATTGTTGGTTCCTGCAAAAGGAAAGCAAGGGAGGGGAAGGAAGAACATATCAGAGAATTCCAGATGATCAAAAGGTATATCAACTTAAATACTACAGAAGAAACAGGAAACAGTAGGGGTAATGATAGCCTGACACATAAACTCTCACCTGAAACAGCATGCGTGTCTCCCTGAGGAATAATATACTCGCTATGGCTGCAGGATTACCAGTCCAGTCAGTAAATAATCATAAATCCAGCTGAAAATGCAAAATAATCAATCATATACAAAATTTAAAAATAATATATATAACTTGAAATATGCAAGCTGAATTTCCAGCTAGTTTGCTAGTTCAGGCATCAAAACACAATGGTTGGTCCGAACATTTTAATAAAAGCATCGATAGGTTTTCAATGAACAAGTAATGGTGGTCTAAACACATTTATAAATGCGTCTTTCTTTTGTTAAAAATACATTTAGATGTTCACAACAGTTATAGACATGTAATGGACTTACTCCTGGTTTACTGGTGAAATCTGAGTAGTACTGTTCAACAGGCAGTTCTACTGCAACTAAGCACCATTATCATTTTACTTTGAACATAAATTTTAGAGATATTATCCTTATATCCATTTCACTTATAAGCCTCTTTTGGGTCCTCTCTTATCCTTGATGAAAGGTGTTTAAGGTTGATTCCATGTTCTCCACACATCATTTGATCAATAATCAACACATGCAAATCATGTCACTATGCTGCCAACAGACCAGAGAGATTATAGTCTTCCATTATACAAGTTTATCCAATGTTAACCTCCCATACCCTCACCCTCTGGAGCAAGGGGGGTAAGAAAATTAGAAGAAGAAGAAGAAAGAAAGGAAAGAACAAAAGAATTATGATCACGCTTGCCGAACAACGTCAACACCCACCATATTCATGGAGTTCAATGAGATGTATCTCCATGCTTGACTACTAATGCATAATCATGTAGAATCTTGAATAGATTTATGGAGAGGAAATATGGTAAACATACACATCTGAGATGCCAATTAGAAATTTTCACAGTGAAAGAGACCATAGTAAACCAACAATTTGACAAAATTTCAAGCTTCATATCAACTGTCATGTTACCTACCAAATCATTCACTTCTCACTCCCAACTGCATTGAAATTTTACCATCTCCACAATATCTACTTGCATATAGTCATTAGTCAGAATGCCACCTACCATGGTACCAACCATCACAGGCACCTAAACGAGCATCTTACTGTTATAACATCGATAGATATAATATCAATGTATTACAGTTACGAGGCTTAGAACTCACAGAACTTCATTGTGAACCCAAAACAGAAGGTTCTCTCTTCTAACACTCCCCCCTTCCTACAACCAAAAAAGTGTTTTTATTGTTGGTAATTGAAAGCTATCTACAACTAGGAAAATAGTATTTCCCCTGCACAACAGAATGAGGCGATGCAAGATTTGGCAATATGTATGCCAGCAACATGTTTTACATGGTGGATGCAGAAGTTAAGAGCATCGCCCTTCCTTGTCTTCCATTTAGATAGACACTGATGCGACCAACTGTAGGTCAGGATATTAATAGCTTGAATCAACAAAAAGTAAATAGCTTAAGAAAGAAAAGAACTTAGTTTGGGGACTGTCTTAAGATTCGAGCAAGTTTAAAAACATAGAGAATATGTCTCATGATTCCTCATGAACCTCACATTAAGTAGTAGCACCTGAGATTAGCATGGTATGCTCTGGAGTCTGGACATTCTATTAAGAGGCTTAAGCCCATCTAGAACTAAAGCTCATGACTTGTCAGAAAATTGGCATTAAGTAATAACACCATGTCATCATTTTAACACATTTTCACAGACACCTATCACAAAAACCTGGTTGTATAATAAACAATTGAACATAATAACAAATATAAGTTATAAAACAGTCTACCAATTCATCCACAATTATAACTACACATTGATAACATTCAAAATAAGATGATAAATCCTATTTAAAAAAAATAAAAATAAAAATAAAAAAATTCTTTTCTCTTGACGTGGATAACCAAACCCCGATTAGATTCAGACACGATACACTTTTAAGTTATTCGGAGAACCCAAGTACTCTCCCGATCCAGGAAAGGTTCTCTTTCCCCATGCCCGGGCACCGTTTGGAAGATACATGAGGACACAATCAACCTATTGACTCTGTTACATGGACTCTTCAAAAGTAGCGAAGTACCCGTGTCGGACACATATCGCTCGGACATGGGTATGGGATATGTGTCCGACACTTTTGGTTGAACATGTATTTAAAAAACATATACAATCATTCAATTACATTATATTATTACTTTAAAATGAGTTAAATGCCTATATTGAACATTATATTAGATAAAACTGTTACTTTACTCTAGAAAATAAAATAAAATAATTAATAAAATGAATATTTAGCCGTGTCCGCGTGTCCTTCTATTTGGAGATTTGACACGTCCGACGCATGGATACATACCCGTGTTCGACACCCGTACCCGAGTCCATGTAACATAGCCTATTGATACTAAAGAGCCCAAAGGATTCTTCCAAAGTATCCATTCTGGGTCCAATATAATTCGTAAGCATAAGAAAGACGGCCTATCAAATGGAGATTTGGAGTTTTTTTTTTCTTTCAATCATTTTTCTATTGTTAATACAACATAGAAGGACTGCTACTACGAAGATAATTACGCCCTTGAGTATGGAAACTGAAGCATAATGATAGCAAGTCACAATGTATGGTGCAATTGCTTTAGAATCTAGTCCATTGAATGACCAGCCAAATGCCATCATATATCTTTATACAATAGAATTGAACCATTTCATGTTAGACTTCGAAACTAACCTGCCTGCCCCTTCAAGGCTAGAGGGAATGACTCTCCTCTTCTCCATGATCTCAAACTTGAGATACTAAATGCCAAGAGAGCGCCACCAAGGATAACACCAAACCTAAGGGCAGAAAGGCTTCCAGTTAGCATGAAGGAAAGAAAGCCACCAGAAGAGAGAAGGATACCTGCAAAAAATAAACAATAAAATGACAAACAGTTCACTGCTTAATCTAAATACTAGTCAAGTAATACCACTAAGCATGGCAAGTATAGGACCAGTGAGACAGTGTCACAGAATAGTGAAAGATAAAAACATCGTACTATAAATATCCATGTGTCGTATTTAATGCATACCATATGGTATCCCAAGGTAAAAGTCACGCATTTTAGATAATTCATTCACATCATCAGTTGAGGAAGCAAATGTTTCCACAATATCCTTCACTGGCTCAGGGGAGATCTCTGCGGCCGTAGAGAGATTCTTTTTACTCTCCTCACTGATTTCCTTCGCAACAATACTCAAATCATTTCTTGCCTTTTCTGCTTGAACTTTCCACTGCTCTGAAGTTTCTTTTAAAATAACCATTGCTTTCTTAGAGTACAACTCATATGCCTCTTGTGATACACTCTGCATCTTTAATGCTTGCTCTTTGAAACTAGCAAGTGTCTGTTTCCAAGCTTCCTCTGATTCTTCAGCTCCCACTTTAAGATCACTCTCCTCCTCCTCCGCTTTATCTGAAAAAGCCTAAAAAACAAAGAAAGAGTCAAATATATAAAATGTGTTAAATAATATCCATATACAGAATCAAAATAAGAAGAAAATTGTATATATTCTACCGCCACGAATTATTTACGTGTGTGTGTGTGTGAAGACAATAAGATAAATCACACCATTTGATCATTTACCACTACATTACAAGCTAACAAGCATCTTCTACCAATTTCCTCCAACTAAAAGTTAAAGCCAACCTGTTTCCTAACGAAGTAGAAATGATGGATCCCTCCTGATTACATTAGTCCAATTACCACAATCTTGCGATGTGATGCTAAGTCAAGATTGCGAGAAAGCAAATCATAAAAATCACAGTTCATCATTTGATTATGCAATAAAGAGCAACTATTGTTTAAAGGAGGATGATGCATTGCAACAACTCTTGAATTTATCAAAAAGAAAATGTCAAACTGATGAGTAATATATTAACGTTGAGTTTCACAACCATTTAATGGACTGCTACAAGTTGAAACTATTTGATTGTCATTGAACATGAGAGTGAAGGTCAAACAAAAGGTAACCCAAAAGAATGCCTCTTCAAACTGATGGACCGGCCTTGAAATCTTCCCAGCAAAATATAAGCCTAAAAGCCCCACCACAGCCCATCAACACTTCCAATATACAATCTAATTGTAGAATACTCCAAAAACACATAATCCTGACTGAAGGAAATCATTTCTAAATTACAAATCCGAGCTAAAAACAGGCCAACATACTGTTATCTATTCTTTATGCTAGAAGTCACCACAATATTTTAGTGAGCGCAATAGCTTACAATGCTTTCATGTTGCAAAATGCCTGGAGAAAAGTATGAAGAAATAAAAAAAAATGCAGCTCTGACATAATAAAAAATGGATCCAACTTTAGCATTCCCTACCGGATTAATATTTTCTAATCAATCAGGCGAGTAGAAAATCGGAAAACAAAAAATATAACAATAATAAAAATCATCTGTTTGGGAGAATACTTCTTCAATAAACCTGAAATTTTACAACAACAAATGCTAAGATTCTCCAAAAGTATTTAAGCAATTCCCATGTGAATCAAAGAAGCAATAGCGTCAATTAATTAAACACTATGGTACACACTGAACTGTACTGTTCAAAATTTCAATAACTTACTGCATTACAATTATAAAAAAAAAAATAAAAACAACAAAACAAGGACGGCAAATAAAAATTGAAAAAACGATTGTAAGCATGAGAAAATATTTTTAGCTTACCGATTCTTCACGAGAAGATGCAAATGAGAAAACCGATCGATTCCTCAAGCTTCGAGGAGGCAGAGGAAGTAAACCCAGGCCAAGCTTCGTCGGAGAAACGGTGCGAGACACAACTGAGACTCCGTGAGGTCGAAGTAGACATTTCCATTGGAGAGACATCGGTGAGGGACATAGAGCCATTGAAGCTCTCCTCAGGAACAGAGCCGAGGAGCTAGGGTTAGGGTTTGTGAGAGTAAACGAATCGATCGAAACACTCATCGTGCTGCAGTATATGGTGTTAAGATTCTAGAGAGAGAGAGTTTAGAAAGAGAAAAGGCGGAGAAGTGGGCGAAATAAACGATGGCGCGAGAAGGACTTCTTTATGAAAGAGGAAGCAAAGAGAAGAGGGGTCCGGAAACGCAGAAACAGGGTCACTCTCAAGTTTCTAAATGGACGCCTCCTAAAGAGCGCGTGGTATGAGATATATATATATATCATAATCCGCTACCTGCGAAATGTTGGACACGTGAATTGCGATCTGGGACGGCGAGGTGTATTGTTCATTTGTCCATATCTTTGCTTCTTCAGCAATACACACTTGTATTGTACCTTGTTCATTTAATCTGTTACTTCGTGAAAAATCAATTCTACAAATTGTATTGAGTTTTTTTTTTTTTTTTTTTTTTTTTTGAATCCTGATTCGGTAACAGATTAATAGTACTCCTAATAAGCAAAGAATTCATAGTTAACCTAGTATAAATAATGATCTGATTCAATTAAATTATATATTTATATTAGGCCATGTTAAAAAGTAATAATATTGAGCTGTTTATAAGCTTAATTCGTAAAATTAATATTCCCTCCATCCCTTATTAGTAGTCTATTTTTCTCTTTTTATATGTCCCAAATTAATTGTCTTCTTTAAAAAGTCAAAATATCTTTTCTTTATAATTCTATCATTGTCCTTTATTTTTTTAAAAAAATTCAAACTTTGTAATTATATATATTTAAATTAAAAAAGACAATTTGGTAATTTTAAAATGGAACAATGCATTAATTGCATGTCCCCTTAAAAAATTATAAAACCAAAAATAGACAACTAATAAGAGACGGAGGTAAAAATATGTATAGTAGTGAACCAATCATCCCTTGGAGTTGGATTCCAAACTCAAGAGAACAACAACTGGGTGATAGGCAAGCAAGGGATGGATGCTGCCATCTAAGCAACATTCTCCTTCTGATTTCATTTTGTAACAATTGCCAAGGAAAGCATCCAGTGGCAGTACATGCGTTACACATTATACAGTGTGTGCAATCATGAAGCATGTAATCACAGTGGTAATATATTGATGAATGGTTAGACATGTACTCTATAATCAGTGGTCTGATGGAACACGGCCCAATTTCACAAAAAAACCCAGCACTGAAATGTACTTTATCTAATCCAAGCTGGAATTAATAGGACTCAGCCCAATATAAAAAATTCCATAGAAATCCATAGAGTTGTGACAAATTGAAGGTCATCTTGTAAATAGCTGTTCTGGTTACTTTCCACTTGGACCTTTAGGGCCAGTTTGGTGCAATGAAAAAGGGAGGAAAGGGAAGGGAAGGTGATGGAAGGTGTTTAAAAAATTGTGTTTGGGTAAAATAGGTGGAAGGAAAAGAAAGGAGAGGGAAGGCTTTTGAGGGTTATGTATAGGGTTATACAGTAGTTTTCTTATCCTTCCAAAAATGGGAGGAAATGGAAAGAAAGTGAAGGCAATGGCTGATGGAGGAGTGAGAGTGAGGGCCAGCGGCTGAAGCTTACGAACGGCGAACCCGAGCTGGAACAGCGGCTATGGAAACTGAAAGATATGGTTTTTGATTTTCTGAACAATCTGAAATGATATACCGATACGGGTTTTGAACTTCTGATTCTTGTAGTGCACAGAGAGAGAGAGAGGGCAAGTTCAGAGTTGAGAACGAGAATATAGATGAAGGCGAGATTGGGGAGGCTGAAATGGTTTGCCCTAATTTTTATTTTTCTTTTCTTGTGGTCCATCAGGTATAGGAGACTATATATATATATATATATATATATATATATATATATATAAAATAGAGATGGAGGCGAGATTGGGGAGGCTGAAATGATTTGCCCTAATTTTTTCTTTTCTTTTCTTGTGGCCAGGAGAGGAGACTATATATATATATATATCTTTTAAAATATAAAAAGGTATAATAGTCAATTTATTAAAATAATTCTCTTTCCTTTCTTTCCCTTTCTTTTTCCAAACATGATTATTATCCCTCCCTTTCCTTTCTTTCATTAATCAACCAAACATAATAGGAGGTTAAAATTGTCTTTTCCTTCTCTTTCTTTCATAACTAATGTTATCATTTCTCTCCAAACTCACCGTACCAAACATAACCTTAGGCCAAGGTTTGTGGGAATAGAACTTGGACATGAATGTAAAATCCAGAAGATATACAAATCGAATTCAACTTGTAACTGTTCAGAACAAAGCCCAACTTAAGCAACAGACGAATGGGCCTAGGTTGAATGGTCTCAAACTTAATTATCTGGAGTTGGCCATAGGCTTTGCATTCAATCAAACCGTATATGTTAGTTGTTATTAGTTTGAGATTTATCCCACATTTATATCAAATTAGAATAAAAAGTAATATAGGTATAAATAGATTGGATGTCTTACGTTTTTGGTGAGGTCACAAAACACCCATATACTATGCAAGTAATTAATAGAAAGAATTTGAAATTGACGGAACAGGAGCTAATTAAAAAGCATGTCAAAATTTATATAATCCAATGCTAGATATTTTGTATCACAAGCAACTTCAATGATTCAAATTACAAAAAAAATTGTAAGGATCATCTTTTGAACTTTCTTTTTATGTGATATTTACATTAAACCAAGGAAGTCACACTACTTGTGCCTGACTATTTTAGGTTTAATGTTGAATGATGTGATTTAAATCAAGGTTATCTCTACTTTAATATAAATTGTTGTGAATATCACTTGTACAGAATATATATATTTATGTATATATATATATTTTTTTTGAAAGTTAAAACAATTACTCACGTATCGCATCATTTCTTTACCGAGGTTTAAACTATAAACCTCCTCTTTGAAGAGGAAGGAGTGATACGGCAGGGTAACGAGTCCTTTGCTATGTATAGGTATGTATGTGTGTGTTTGTATGTGATAGCATTTGGTAGTCCCCAGTTATGGATGGATAGAGACAGCAGTCGCCCCATCTGTGAAAGTCGTGACAATGTCCCCAAATAGCAGAGGTTGAGAACGATGTTTCAACCATACCAACAGAATTCTAGCTAATTAAAGACCACCATATTGCTATAGTGAGTCAGATTTTACCATTTGAGTGACATTGGCCTCATCTCATCAATATTGTTGCTGCCAAATTCCTACTGGTCTAATGGGTGGTTTACTGTGCTCTCGAAGAGCGTTACAATAGCTTGCCTTGTCGTTTTACTGTCCGTAACACAGTAAACCGTGCACTGGAGACCTTTTGAAGATTTCACCTCGGGGAAGTGAAATAGTGCCTCCATGGTTGAGTTTGACCCGTCAGTTTTGCCTTTATTCTCTCGGGTATGGTGACTTCCACGCCAGTATATCACTCAAGTACAATACTTTGCCTTTGCAGGAAAAAAAAAAAAAAAAAAAAACGTACAATACTTTGTTTGCCAAAAAAAAAAAAAATATTGTACAATACTCTGTTGCCATGAAATTACTCTATATTAATAAACTTAATATATATGGAAGAAAAAAAAAAAAACTTAATACATACTACTAGTATGAAATTAAGATAGATTAAACAATAAAGTTTTGATGGCTTACATAAAATAAAATTGAGAACATGAATTTTATTATTAAAAATCAACTAACTCTGTGTTGTGTCCACTTATAAGTTTTGTATTAATCATGAGCCAGAGGAATGTAAATGAATCCATATAAGTGAGTTTGAGTTTGAAATTGTTTAGATTCAATTCATTCGGTTTTTTTATTGGTTTTTATGGGCAATTTCAATCGTTTGAAAAGTTTTGAAAGTTAGAGAGTTTAAAGTTCATTTTACCTACACTTGCCATCTTGTAAAGCGTGTGTATATATATATTATATTATATATCATATTTAAATTTATAAAAAAAAAAAAAAATTTACTTTATTATTTTATACATTCCACTTTGACAATAGTGTCATTAACTTATAGATAAGAGAATGACCAGTATTAGAGTAATTTTTGTTATTTAAATTAAAGAAATGTATATATGTAAAAAAAAAAAAGAAGAGTCCATTTATAAAAAAATGAAATAAAAACTGATTTGTGTTTTTAGATCTCAACTCTCAAGTTCTAGGTTAAGATTTGAGAATTTATACAAAAAAGTAAAAAATAAATAAAAGAGAATAAGAATGTTACCTTACATTTATTTTTGAGTTAATGAGATGGAATTTAGATCGATCAAGAGCTCACCTCGTGACCTGAAATTGGACCAAGCCCAAGTCCCGAAGAACCAATTTCATCTCTTCTGATTCCATAAATTGCTACATAGCTTAGAAAAAACAAAAAAGGGTAGCCAATAAGGACTAAACTTCTAAAACATGGAGTTGTTCATGAACTATGCTATTTAACTGTGTTCAAGTGAATTATTTTCTTTAGGTAGTAATATCCTTGTGGAGTGACATTGTTACAAAACAGAGAGAATAGTATTATGAGAAATTATGACAACAACATGCCACTGTAAAGTTTCCAAAAAGAGGTTTGAAAAACTCATTTCTTTTACTTTTTCCATTTTTCCTGCAATCCAATTCCTAATCCCACCTAATAGACATATTCATACTATTATATTTACATTTGTCTCAACTTTCATCCTAATTTCCCCACAACCATCTGCTCTCAGCACCATTTTTCTTTTCTTTAATTTTGGACAAAGTTGCATTTTAAAAAAGTTTAGTATATATATATATATATATATATTGTGCAAGAGAGTGCAGCAGTTTGGAGTCTTTGGACTTTGGATGTTGGAAATTGTTCTCTTAGCAGTAAAATAACAATACTCAAAATTTCCATACAATATTGACGCAGAACATGTGCTGAAGAGAATCCGTTTGGATCGTCAACATGTTAAACGATCAGTTTTTTTTAAATATTTTCGACGAATCTGTTTTTAACTCGAAAATAGTTTAATTTTATTAAAAATGGTCCAACTCGCAAATATTGGTAGCAAAACTGCCAATGTAGGGCGCCTTTTGACTGAATTCTTTAAAATTTGGGAATTAGGTTTTTTCAATTTTTAATATTTCAGGATTTTGTTAAAAAACTATACGGATTAGAATTGCTTTTTAGTAATTAGGGTTCTTTTTTATTTTTACATAATTTTTAGAAAGCTAATTTATTTTTGAGCAATTTTCTTGGACATTGCAAATTTCTTTAGGTTTTTTGAATTCTTTTATGTTATTAAATTTTTTTATTTATAAATACATGTACTACTGTGATGAATCATTCAATTATTATTATATTATCATATTCCCCTACTATTTTTTTATTTTTATTTTTTTTTCCCTGTAGAATTTTTGGTCTTACATTAGAATTTAGAAGCCAACTCAGATTTGAAAAGAGTGAGAAGTGCCACGTCATAGGACCCCCTCGGATTCCTGTTTGACTTTACCGAGTATCGTAAACAGACAACTGCTCTATTTCTCCGCCGTTACATACTATACTATATAGACTATATTGTATATATATATATATTAATTTATGTATAGACTATGGAGAGAGAATTACAACTATATAATACAATATAGTACTAGTAGTAGTATGATAGCAGAGAGCTTTTAATTCTTTCAGACTCGGAGAAAAAGACTCGCACTTACCACTCATCCCCATTACCACCCACGCATCTCCATCTTTAATGCTGATATAGATACACAAACTAGGGTTCGGTTGCCTTCTCCATTTCTAGACCTCTCTCTCCGCCCATTTGCCATTCCAGCCGATTCTCTCTCCGACCCCTCTCTCGATTCCGGTGCTGCTGTCAGATTCGGGCAGCATTCCCGGCTAAGCAAAGGCGCGCAAAACAGCTAAGAGTAGTACCTCAAACATTATCTCCCTCTGTTTATATATGTCGTTGCTCTGTTTATCCTCTGAATATTACTGATTTCTCTTTCATTTCACACCTCTCTTTTTGTTATAGGTTCTTAATTTGAGCTATTACAGTTCTTCTTGTAACTCGGCACAAAATGTCATTTCTGGTTCTCGCGTCTTTCGTATTCAATGTTTTCAAGTTCCAATTTTGAATACTGTCTGGTGTTACTCAGACCCTTTTAGCTTTGGTTGCCATCTATATGTTTATGGGATACCCATTCCTATGTGGTCGCTTAGTTTTGTAAGTTTCAAAAAGCTTCTTTGATACCCTTTCATGGCGGTTTAACATTGTTGTTTTTCACCGCCAGAGCGAGATTCAATTGGATAAAATGATACTTAACCTGTTAACTATTCTTTTCTTAGTTCCAATTCTTGTAGAGTCTTCAGACCCGGCTTTCAACGATGACGTTTTGGGTTTGATTGTCTTCAAAGCTGGCCTTAAAGACCCAGAAGCAAAACTCGTATCCTGGAATGAGGACGATGACAATCCCTGCAACTGGGTCGGCATCAAATGTGATCCCAGGACTAATAGGGTCTCCCACCTCATTCTCCATCGCTTCAATCTTTCCGGTCATATTGGCCGAAGCCTCCTCCGATTAGAGTTCCTTCGGATACTCTCTCTTTCCAACAACAACTTCACTGGCAATATTAACCCCATTCTTGCCCAAATGGAGAGCTTGAGAGTTGTTGACTTGAGCAACAACAATTTATCTGGCTCAATCCCTGATGAACTTTTTCGACAATGCAGGTTGTTACGGGAAATTTCACTTGCCAATAACTACCTCACTGGCCAAATCCCAGATTCCTTGAGCATGTGCTCAACACTTGAGAGAGTCAACTTCTCCTCTAATTGGCTCTCCGGCCAATTACCCTCTGGAATTTGGTCTTTGAGTGGGCTTCGATTGCTTGATTTCTCGGATAATTTGCTGGAGGGTAACATCTCAGAAGGAATTTCAGGTTTATATGATCTAAGGGTGGTTAATTTCCAGAAGAACAACTTCAGTGGGCAGCTACCAGAGGACATTGGTGATTGTTTACTATTGAAATCGCTTGACTTGAGCCATAATTCCCTTTCTGGGGTCCTTCCAAGGTCAATGCAAAAACTTAGTTTGTGCACTTCTTTAAGTTTAGGAGGGAATTTGTTCACAGGTGTTGTTCCGGATTGGATTGGAGATATGAGAAGCCTCAGGGTTTTGGATCTCTCTGGAAACGAATTTTATGGCCGAATTCCAAACTCAATAGGAGATCTTCTATTATTGAAGGAGTTAAAGTTATCTACTAACAGGTTTACCGGAAACTTGCCTGAATCGTTGATAGGTTGCATTAATCTCTTGGCTGTGGATGTTAGCAAAAATTTGTTGACAGGAAATCTTCCTTCATGGATTTTGAAGATGGGTTGGCAGAATGTTTCTCTTTCTGGGAACAAGTTTAGTGGAATCATAGAATTTCCTTCTCTGACATCAATGGCAGCCTCTTACCAAAGCCTACAGGTCTTGGACTTATCCTCTAATGCATTATCTGGTGAAATTCCTTCCGTCATTGGGAATTTCAGTAGCTTGCAGTTCTTGAATATGTCCTGGAACTCTTTAGTTGGATCTATCCCCCCAAGTGTAGGTGAATTAAAAACCACACATGTTCTTGATTTGAGTCACAATTGGATAAATGGAACCATTCCTTCTGAAATTGGAGGAGCAGTTTCGTTGCAGGAACTAAGGCTGGAGAAGAACTTCCTAACTGGGAAAATTCCAACTCAAATCGAGAAGTGCTCATCTTTAACCTCCCTGTAAGTTCTCTCCATCTTGATTGTGCCTTTTGTGTGTGTATGTGGGTGTGAAGTGTGTGGTACTGAGAATTGTTTTTGACAATGAGACAGTTTGTTTGAAGCTTTTTTTTAAAAATGAATTTTTATCTTTTTGAGTTTAACCACATTTCGTATCCGTTAATAGAAGCCATTATCAATCAACAATAGTTGGTTTCTCCATTCATACACCTATATAAGCTTGAAGTTTTGTAGTCGGAGTTGATTTGCTGCATCTTTGTTCTTTTCCAGGCGCTGTTCTATTTGATAACACAATTCAGGTTTCTGCTACATTTTTTGGATCAAATACACAATCTTTTATGCTTTTGAATTTAGTGTGCATGTGTGTTCCAGTCCAAAATTATAGGAGGAGTCATTGTTATTTATCATTTTGTTGTTGCAAATTGCAAGCTAGGAGACATAGCAATACATCATTCTGACAGTTTCTCTGTTCATACTTTTCGTTTGAACTGTATAGGATCCTGTCTCAGAACAACATCACAGGTCCAGTTCCTGCAGCCGTTGCAAACTTAACTGACCTCAAGATAGTGGATTTATCTTTTAACCAACTTTCTGGAAACTTGCCCAAGGAGCTGACCAATCTGTCCCGCCTCCTCTCCTTTAATATCTCCCACAACCACCTCCAAGGTGAACTACCTGTTGGTGGCTTCTTCAACACCATCCCTCCCTCATCTGTCTCTGGTAATCCATCTTTATGCGGCTCTGTTGTCAACCTCTCTTGCCCTGCTGTCCATCCCAAACCCATTGTCCTTAACCCTAATTCTTCATCCAACTCCGGTGGTAGTTCTTTCTCTTCTAGTCTCCATCACAAGAAAATCATACTTAGTATTTCTGCCCTCATTGCTATCGGTGCAGCTGTTTTCATTGCCATCGGTGTATTAATTGTCACTCTCCTCAATCTGCACGTCCGCTCTTCTATGTCACGTTCTGCTGCCGCCCTCACATTTTCGGGCAAGGATGATTTCAGCCATTCCCCTACAAATGAATCCAGCTGTGGCAAGCTTGTCATGTTCTCTGGTGACGCTGACTTTGTTGCCGGGGATCATGCACTGCTCAATAAAGATTGTGAACTTGGACGTGGTGGGTTTGGAGCTGTTTACAGAACAGTTCTTCGAGATGGGCGTTCGGTTGCCATCAAGAAGCTAAGCATCTCGAGTTTGATCAAGTCCCAAGAAGAATTTGAGAAGGAAGTTAAAAGACTTGGAAAGATCAGGCACCGTAATCTGGTGGCACTAGAAGGGTATTACTGGACACCATCCTTACAGCTTCTCATTAATGAATACATTTGCAGTGAGAGTCTATATAAGCATCTTCATGAGGGAACATCTAAAAACTGCCTCTCTTGGCAACGGAGATTCAACATAATTCTTGGAACAGCAAAAGGATTGGCCCATTTGCACCAGCTGGACATAATTCACTACAATCTAAAATCAGCTAATGTTCTGATGGATGATTCTGGTGAGGCCAAGGTGGGGGACTTTGGCCTGGCGAGGCTGTTGCCAATGTTAGACCGTTGTATTTTAAGCAGCAAGATTCAGAGTGCACTTGGGTATATGGCTCCTGAATTTGCATGTAAAACAGTGAAGATAACCGAGAAATGTGATGTTTATGGATTTGGGGTCCTGACCTTAGAGGTGGTGACAGGGAGAAAACCAGTGGAATATATGGAGGATGACGTGGTGGTACTGTGTGACATGGTGAGGGGAGCATTAGAAGAGGGCAAGGTGGAGGAATGTGTTGACAGGAAGCTCCATGGTAATTTTCCAGCAGAGGAGACAATACCAATAGTAAAGCTTGGTTTGATATGTGCATCCCAAGTGCCATCAAACCGGCCAGACATGGCAGAGGTGGTCAAAATTTTAGAGCTGATTCGGTGCCCTCCAGAAGTCCAAGAGGACGAGTTAGAGTGAACTCGACCTGTAGAGATTGAAGACAAGCAATACATAATGGTTTCCCGGTGAATATGAATCCAGTTTCTGCTTAAATACAAAAGAGAATATATCATTGAAGTTTTTTTTTTTTACTTTTTTTTTTTTTCCCGACCTTTCTTGTTTGTTGTTCGGAATTTCTGTGTTGTAATTTTTTGAAATCTTTGTGGCAGTTATATTACTGGATTCCTTTTCACCGGTTCTGATCTGGGACCCTTGTGGATATTGTTATACTGATGTTTTTCTACAGATCACAGTGGCTGAAAATTTGTCTTTCGCTTTATTTTGTTGTGCTTGTTCAGTTCTTTTGTTAGGTTCTCTGCTTGTTTCTATGCTGTTGGGAAACTCATGTGGTGATTTAATTCAAATCCCGAATATCCCCCACTGTACCTATTGTTTGTTAAATTCCATCAGTCCGTAATTGTCATAATCAGTTCTCACAGCTACGCAACATTAAAATGATATCGTCCTCATCCACCTACCCGTGTTTCTGCAAATGGTAATCTGAAAAACTCTCCATACCTTGCTTAATTCTTGTTATCCATTCCAATTTGTACCACCCTTTTTCTGTTTTTTAGCATGACAAACATGGGCAAACGCGTGCCATGGGCATCATTGGTAGTAATACTGTTACAGAGTGGTCTCTAGGACCTGATATCAAGTACATTGTGGAAAGGAATGTAAAACTTTATAAGCCATGCAATGAAAAGAATAAAAGAGATTAATGTGAATGGCAAAGGGAGGGAGGAGGAAGAATGAGCTCAACTACTCAAGATTGATGTAAAAGTGAGGAGGAATTCACATGGCACAGTTGCAGTAAATAACACAGTAGGAAAAAAAAAAAAAAAAGACAAGGAAAAGAGGATGGCAGGATCTCAAAGGAGGTTGAGTGTTGGAGTGCTGGTAGGATTTAGAGGTGATATAGTGAATGTGTGTGTGTGTGTGTGTAAACTTTTCCCGAGAAAAGAGAGAGAAAAGTAGGATTTAGTGGCACCCTTGCTTTATATCCAAGAGGTGGTGGACCAGAACTTTTTGAATGTAAACATTATGTCCATTTGCTTATACATACCACTGCAGCTGCTAGTTACTGAACTATACGTCAATTGCGCTCTTGTAAGATTGGTTTACACATTACAGATCTCAACACAGTTGACCCCATCAATTTTAGTGAGGTCGGTTTGATAATTAATGCTTAGATGTGAAGTTTTTATTTTTAATCAGATTGTTTGTAGACCTCAAGGAAACCTATTTAATGCACTTGACATCAATAAAGCACTTCACATGGTGGGGGTCCTCGAGAGCACTTGTCCCTGAAATATAATATACAGTGCGTGCCTTTCATGTTCATTGTTACATGATGCAGCTTTTAATGTTCTAAAATTTAGTTTATTAGCCAAAAGCCAGAGTGTGACAGAGGATAAGTAAAGTAGAAGCTGCATGGTAGATTTTTTCAGTGAGTGCATTTTGAAAGGATTTTTAAAGGGCAAAAAATTTCAAATAATAATAAAAAAAGGATGACCCTTTCCCTCCTTTCCTCTTTACTCTTGGGAGGAAGAAATGTGGTGGGTCTGGCGGGAAATGATTTCCCTTCTTTTCTTTATCTTCCCTTGCTCACTCTACCAAACCAAGTAAATGCACTCTTTTCCTCTCCTTTTCTTTCCTTTCCTTTTCTTTCCTTTCCTTTCCTTTCTTACCCTTCCCTTCCTTCTACTAAATTGGTTGTTACAGAAAGGCGCGATGCTGCGCTTAAAATATAAGCACTAAAAAAGAAATTAGACATAGAAATGAGACTCGGTAATTTTTTTAGTCACAAAAACAGAGATGTAGACTAATAAATTAGATGGATAATTTAACCATTTTAGTCTTGTATATTTTTCTATTTGTTGATGGGTCATTCTTCATCATTAGAAGAGTTACTAAAGCCTTAAAATTACTACCAATGTTTTACTGTTGATATCTGAAAAAGAAATTATAATGACTGTTTATGTACCCTATGCAACTTCAAATTTCAGCAAATCTATCTAGTTATCAATTTGGAATAGCTTTTATCTTGCTTTTGAAAGCAAACTAAGGAATATTATTTGTCATCAAAAGAATGAGAATGGGAGCTTTTTACCTACCCAAGAAAGAGAGAGAGAAAAAGAAAAAGAAAAAGAAGAAGAATTAATGAAAATGATCCCAACATGCTACTCAACCGGAGGACTCAACAACATCAATGAATTCAAAGCGGATGACTTGGCATTAACCCAACATTTCAGGCTTTATATTTATGGTAATCATCATCAAGAGGGAGCAATGTGAAGTGTTCAAAAGTTTCTAAAGTAACATCTAAAATATAATAGTTTTTTTCTTTTTTTCAAAAAAAAAAAAAAAAAAAAAAAAATTAGAAGGAAAGACTTCTTGAATTTTGTGGAAGTGTTGAATTGCTTGAGGAAGAGCAAGAAGAATTTTGCCTTTTTCTTCTTTTCTGTTTGCTTTATTGAGACATAATTATAGAGACACACCATGCAAACTTTCACCGTAAGTCCCTAGTGGGAGAGAGACTATACTTTATTAAAAGAGTTTAGTGGGGACAAATGAGTTTCTTTCCAAGAATAACTCAATTTGTTTTAATCATTTACGGTATAAAGTGAAAACTTTGTTGGGTGTGTGTGTGTGTGAGAGAGAGATAGAGAGTTATTACTATATTTTAATAAAAGCAGAATGGGTAATAAAAGAATAAGTGCTTCAACTACAATACAAAGTTGGCTTATGTATGAAGGTAGTTTTTGAAAAAAACACACACAAAGGAAGCCAGACTCAATTATGTTTCAAAATCAACCAAGTATGATGACTTGAAACCATCCACAAATTCAACACAACCAATATGATGAATTTGTTGCATGTGATTTACCGGAGGTAGGTGCATTCTTAGAGATCAGTGATGTCACCTGGGTTTAACATATAATTACGATAAATTATTAGATAATCTTAAATTGTATGACCCAGCGAATTAAAATTCTTCGATTAATGATCGCTAGAGCCAAGAACAGTCCCCGTTGGGCAAAATGATAAGGAGGACAATAATTTACCCTACACCTAGTTTATGACTCACCAGTCTTTACTTAAAAAGAGGGTTATGACCTTATGGCATATGTTATCGATTGGGAGATGCACTATACTGGTTTGGTGGAAGGGCTTGGTTGAAAATGATGATTACAATTGGAAGAGAAATAATTCCATGTGACCAACCGTTTCAAGCTTTTTGATGGATCTGTCGTAGGAAACTGTAACAAGGGTCATTTTGTCCCACATCGGAATCGGATGGGAAAGAGATTGGGTATAAATGGGTGGGTATGCAGTCTTACCTAATAGTTCGAGCTTTTAGGTAAATGGGTAAGCGCCCACCCGTTACAGTTGGTATCAGAGCCAAACCCAGTCCTTGATCCGCTGCCATGCCAGGCGTCCGGGTGAGTCCACCCGGGTAGGCAGGGTGGCCCAACCGCAACGAGGGCGTTGTGAGTTTGGATGGGAGAGAATGTAACAAGGGTCATTTTGTCCCACATCGAAATCGGATGGGAAAGAGATTGGGTATAAATGGGTGGGTATGCAGTCTTACCTAAAAGTTCGAGCTTTTGGGTAAATGGGCAAGCGCACACCCGTTACAGAAATCTACAAATGATTAAAAAATCACATTATACTCAGATGTGACTGCCACATGAGATAATTCCGTAATATTATTAAATCAATTACAGAATAGATTGCTACAAATGAATTTGGGGAAAAACTGCATACGACGAGACACCACTTTAGGAAATCTGTTAATAGAAAAGATATTGTAAGATATAGGCCAAATCAAACCTGTAGTGGGAGAGAAATGGATGTGGGTTTTAGGGATTGAAAGACAGGCACTAGTTTCATTTGTTTTGTTATTAGGGTCCCAACTTCAAAATATGACGATTCTATCCTCTAGTAAGATCAATCTATATACCTGAACCTTTTTTTCTTTCTTTTCTTTTTTTGCCCTCTAAACATAAATATACAAATTTAAATACGAGAACAGTGTCTACTATTTTCCTCTCTGAATTACACATACACACGACTAACAATGAAATGACCTTCAGTGTCACCCAAGTACAAATATGAGAACATATGCACGGCTAACAAAATAACGACCTTCAGTAAGTTCAAATATGAGAATACATGCATTACGTGACAGAGTAGTAAAAACTGGAACAGACACAAAAAGATGCAGATCCAAGTCAAGAAGCAATCACTTTGTTCAAAGTGACATCAATTTTCCTCTCTCAACATTCATATTTCTAACATAATGAGTTTTTTCAGGCTTAGACATAAGTCAGGTGGATAACTCCAAGCTCCCAAATCCTGAAGGTCCCAATTTAATGCTCCCAAATCTCATTCAGTAGACCAGGTTGGATCTTCATTAGATGATAGTACCTCCCAGATTCAAATAAGCTATCATTATTGAACAAGTAACATTTTCACCTTCTCAAATTCATGGAAAAATCAAATTTTAAAAAAAAAATCTTCATTGTCATCTACAATGATGATTGATAATTACAATATCTGTAATTAGATAAAAACAACCCTCTTTTTGGGTACTACTTTGGATATCATCTAAATTGCTCACTGTTATAACACAACGATTCCTGTCAACAAAGCAAGTGTATGAAATGTTTACATTACCTACCAAAAAGAAAGGTAATAAACTTACCAATATAGAAGGGTTTACATAAAAAATTTCCCGTCCGTGGTGTATATCCTGAAAATTCTCTTCACCCTTTCTTTGATTTTACAATTCTAATCATCCCAGTCATTTTCCCATCCATCTCTGTTAGAAGACCTAGAAGTAAGGCCATTTGCCGATATGTTCCCTACATGACGTCCCCCTGGTGACTTCACTGCCCTTTCCTCATCCCAATCATCATCCCAGCCCTGATCCCAACCCTCCACAGAGTCAACATGTACAGCTGAAGCGGATTCTGGCAACCCCATTTCAAGTTCCTGATATGGAACTCCAGCTTGCCGTCTCCTCTTCCCGAACTTGCAACAAGCCCACGTCCCCCCAACAATAAGTGCTATTAGAAACAAGAAGTAGGCACCGTAGATGGGGGTAACTTGCTTATAATAAGAAGGGAGTCGCTGAAAAAAGTTCCCTTCAGCTACAGAAGGGCCCATGTCAATCACACACTCTGCATTACCAGCATGTAGTACTATGTTGGTGCTTTGGCCAATAGCCAGTGAGATATTGATCTACAAGAAAACAGAGACAAAGAAGGAAATGCCACTTAAAAGAAAGCCAACATAGATCCTTGCATGAGTCTAACAATAACCTATAAACATAATTTGAAGAGCACATGAGGGGCCAATTTAAGGAATCTCATCCATATTGAAGAAAAGCACAAATAAGCAATTCTCTAAAACTTGGAAGATTAATTGACAAAATAAATACATTGGAAAGATGATGGTTAATATATACAGCATCTTTACTAATAATATGATAAAATATTCACTACAGGCACGCTGTGCAAATCATCTGCGCAAAGAAAAAAAATAACTACTTTTTTTTTCAAAGGACCGGGCCAGGGATTTGAACCCTGAAATGAACCACCAAAAACTGTCAACTAAGCTTTATGCTCCTCTTTCAACATAATTTTTTTTTCGTCATTCAGTTAAAATAGTATTTACAAATAAGAAAGAAGCTTCAAAATATCCTTCCTTTTCTGTCGTTTTGTGTGTGTGTGTGTGTGTGTGTGTAAGTTATATTATTGCCATATACATCATTAAGATATGATTCTTACATGTTGGCTATACGTAATATCTAAGCAGGTTCTAGCAACAAAGAAACCTTTTTTTCCTTTCTCTCAGAGTTTTATTGCTCTTCACAGTTTGTTTTTATGAATTTTGTAAAACTACTATAACGCAGGAATTAATGCCGAATTGGCGGTTTGCCGATGATATTGTTTTAGTTGAATATATGGCGCATAAATTTAGTAAATCTAGAAACACAAAGGAGGTTGTTATGAGGATTGAGAATCAATAGATACAAAAAAGTGAACATTTTCGTAATTTAGGCTCAATTATTCATAATGAGGGTAAATTTAAAGATGATGTTAATCATAGAATCAACATAGGATGGGTTAAATAGAGGAGCTTATCTAATATATTTTGTGATAGGCGTATCCCATTACAATCAAAAGGGGAATTCCATACTTTATGGTACCGAATGTTGGGCATGTAGGAAACAACATTTACATAAAGTGAGTGCGGCAGAAATGCGAATATTGAGATGGATGTACAGTAAAACTAGAAATGATAGAATTAGATATGATCACATTCGGGAGATGGTTGGAGTAGCACCAATTGGAGATAAAATAGGTTAAGATGGTTTGGACATGTGCAAAGAAGACCTTCAAGTGCCGGTTAGGAAAAGTGACATAGTCCGCATTGAGGGTAATACTAGGGGAAGAGGAAGACCAAAATTAACATGGGTAGAGTTACTAAAAAAGGATATGATAGCATGTGGATTGACTGAGGCTATAGCCTTAAATAGAGCTGAATGGAAACATGGGATTCATGTAGCCGATCCCAAATAATTGGGAAAAGGCTTGGTGGTGTTTGTACTATAACGCATGCAACATTTTTGGTAATTCTTCCTTGCCTCTACACAGCAATGATATTTTTACTCAGGCAACCAGACCCAATAAGTTGTAAGATACTGGGAGTTCCCATTCAGATTCAAAACCATGATCTAGACAGTGGCTCAGAAGTGTGTCACCTTAAAAAGGTTTTCAGGTTCACATTATTATTATTATTTAAATTGTTATGGCACAGAATCTCAAATTTCATCTCTTCTTATTTTCATTGCTTTTAGGTATCATGACAATTACAAAAAAAATTAAAAAAAATAAAAAAAACACACACCCACACACAGAATAATAAAGAGTATCCGAGACAAAAGATCCATACCCTTTCAGTATGGCTTTTGAGTATTATATGTTTGCCTAAAGAATTTTCCATAGGCGTTGGAATAGTAATATTCACTTCCAAAGTGCTTTCTCCTTCATTGTGGACTACAAGCACAATATCTTTGGACCCTGCTACCAAAAAGAAAGAGAAGGTGAGAGAGATTTTCTTCTCCTCATGAAATACATGACAGTAAAGTATATAATTAATCCTTAAACAGAGAAAGAAAGGTTCTGCCATCTTTAAATGTTTATTTGAAAGCTTTAAGAAACAACAAACTAGTCCGATACCAGTAAATGAGCATGAGATGGCAACAACTGGTTACAAATAGAGTGCTGATTTAACTTGTCTTTCCTCTCTCTCTCTCTCTAATATATACTCCCTCCGTCCCAAAATATATGTCCACTTTCCCAAAGTGGACATCTATTTTGGGACGGAGGGAATATATATATATATATATATATATATATATATATAATTTTAGGATTCTTAGAGATAAAATATCAACCAAAAAAATGGAGAAATAAAAAAAGTAGAATCTTGTAGTATTCAAAACTGCAATGGCATGCAAATATTGGGAATGAAATAAACCTCAGCCTATCTAATGCTTTAAAAAGACTTTTATGGTTCCTATTGACTCTACAAAATGAGCTCTGTAATATTAATACTAAGAGCAGCTAATAATATCCTCCTCAATCAGTGCATGCATAGCTGAATTAATTTTTTTTTTTTTTTGATAAGTAAGATTTTATTGAAAACGCTCAAAAGGGGAGCGGAACCCAAAGAAACATAAAGGCCAAAAGGCGCCTCAAACCTTCAAAGAGGCCAAAAAAACAACAATCTCCTCTATAGATCTATAATCTCTCCCTGAGATCCAACAAAAAAGAGTCGAAATAATAGAGAACTTAAGCATAGAAATAGACTTCTCATTTCTATCAAAATATCTCCGATTTCTCTCGAGCCAAATGCACCACCAAATACAAAGAGGCGTAGCCCTCCAAGCATCCTGAATGAGAGCCCCAACAGAAAAACCTCTCCAAACCTCAATCAACCCTCTAGAGGAACAAGGTATAACCAAATGGACCCCAAATAATCCAAGCAACAGTCTCTGGCCATGCTGCAATGTAAAAGAAGGTGATCAACTGTCTCTTCATCACACAAGCACAAATAACAACGATTGACCACCACCTGATTTCTCCTTCTCAAATTATCCTGGGTTAAGATCTTACCCAGGACAGAAGTCCAAGCAAAGAAGGCAACCTTAAGGGGAGCCTTAGAATGCCAAATTGACTTCCAAGGAAAGGGCCTCCGGTACCAACCGAAAGGCACCTAAAAAAGGACCTAACCTCGAACCGACCCTGAGAGCTAGGATCCTAAAGCCAACAATCTGAATCCCCAACTGTGATCACCTGGCGATACAGAACCTCCAAAAAACGAGTAACTTCCTCTATCTCCCGGTCCTGAAAGTGCCTCCTAAACTGAACATCCCAAGTCAGTCTCCCGTTATCAAGGTGCTAACAGTCAACCACCACCATGCCTTGTCTATGAGAAACAATCCTATTGAGCCGTGGGAAAGCGAGAGCAAGGGGAAACTCCCCACACCAAAGATCCTCCCAAAATCCGATCCTCCTACCATCCTTGATCCGAAAACGAACATGTTTGCAGAAATCATCCCACCCCCTCCGAATGAAAGTCCAAACCCCCACCCCCCTAGGACCACGCATCTCAAGAGAACTCCACCCACCACTGCCCTCCCCAAATTTGCTCGCGATAACTCTCCTCCAAAGCCAATGCCTCTCAATCCCAAACCTCCAAAGCCATTTTCCAAGGAGAGCCTTATTGAAAGGCAACAACCTCCTAATCCCTAAGCCTCCACTCCGAATTGGACAGCACACTTACTCCCACCGAACCAGATGATACTTGAACTCCTCCCCCAAAAAAAAGAAAAGAAAATTGTGCTGCAATCTCTCAATTCTCTCAGCCATTGAAGAAGGAATCTGAAAGAGAGAGATGAAATAAGTGGGGAGGCTAGAAAGGGTGCTTTAAATCAGAGTGACCTGACCCCCCTTGGAGAGGACGGCTTTTTCTAACCCGCCAACCTCCTCTCGAATCTATCCACAATCGGATCTCAGCTCCCCACGCATCTCGAAGGGGCTCCCAAAGGCAACCCTAAGTAAGAAATGGGAAAAGAGCCAGTGCGACATCCAAGAACATGAGCAAACATTTCAATCTCAGGAACATAATAATAGTACTCAATAGGTGTGAGGCACTTGTCAATTGACAAAAGGAAAGAAGAATACTGGTCTTTACACAACTCTTCCAAAACCTCATAAGCTTTGAAAAACCCTATGCTTGAGTTTTCTACTCATCTTACCAAAGACCATTCAAGGAAATGCTAGGATCGTTTTTCAGACAAGGTGCATTTTATTCCTTACTCTAAGATGAAAAAAGCAGTATGTGATCGGATTGTTCTTTGAAGAAGGGATGAGCCTTTGTGGATTACCTAAAACTAGTGTCACCAACAAAATGTGAAGTATACTATTTACTTTTGATGATTTTATAGTGTCTACTGAATACTCAACTGAAAATTTCTTTGCTGTAATTCTCAGATTGATTAACAGACCAAGGTAATAAATAGAAGCCCTAGGGATCTACTTCTTTCTCGTGGAAGATAGATTGACTACAGGATCACAATTTTACCTATAACTGAGTTCAGTATAACAGTCCCATCAATAGATACATGGATCATAGTCCCTTTGATATTGTGGTGGGTTTACGTTTACAACCAACGAAACCAACTGGCTTGGTTCCTTCACCCATTTCAAGCTGTCATTATGCAGAAGCAAATGCATCTGAAGAGTGTATGGAGACATTCACACGAAGACGCACCATAAAATCACTTTTAGTAATGTAAACGAGAGCAAGCAACTTCACATTCATGCTGTTGAAGTTTAACAAGGTATAGGGTTTGCACGGCCTAAACATTTCCTGACTAGCAAATACAATTTTCCCATATTGAAGTGTTAGCCCCAACTCCCAACGTACCTAATTCATGTAAAGGGGGGACAATTTTTCCCCCAGTCGATTAATTAACCAACCAGGATCTGATCCATGATTCCCGCAAGTTAGACTTTTAGTTCACGGATTTGCCTATGAATTTGATTGGTTACTCACAAGACAAAGACCACGATAAGTTTTTGTTTATTCACGAGATTTATGTAGACTTGATAACTTTCATAGATTTTACATGTAAGCCCATCGGGTAATTGCCACAATTCAGAGTCGCTATTGACTTATGGCATTTCCAAAATTGTCGCTCTTATTTGGTACTCTGGTATAGTGAGGCAATACAAAATTATCAGAAAGAAAGATGAATTCTACTGCCTATGCTATCTAATTTGTATCTGCTGAACAGTATGGATATTAGTAATATTTAACATTTAGGGTGTCATTCTGCATTAGACATGTTGATGCTTCCTCTAGTATTTTAATTGCAGCTAGCCTCTATCTAGCTGTTAATATTCATGCTATGGAAAATGTGATGAATATTAACATTCTTTTGACTTGAAGATGGCTTAGTGAAGTAGAATAACAAGCTTGGTCAGGTCTCACATGGATTTCTAAAGAAGTTCAATAACTAGATCAAGATAATTAAGAATCATGCCACTCTTTCAACACAACAGAATTGAGTTTCCTTGCACTGGGGGGAGATGATGCAAAGGGGAAGCCCAAAAAGGTTTAAAAAAATACTAAAGAAAAGGGAAAGCAGGATTCAACATGTAGTCATTTGGCAGGATTCTAATTTAGGACTAGCCTAGGATACTATTCTTAAGTTCTATTATTGCTTTTATTTCTTAAAAATTTTTGTGTTGCTGATAATTTGGTAGTTTCAGTATAGATCATTTAGAATGGGATGCAATGGTGGGCTCTTTACAACGTTTCATAACAACAAGAGAGCTCATATTTTTAGCGAAACTCAAAAAGAACTAAGGCTCCGTTTGTTTGAGCGTAAAATATTTTTCGGAAATTATTTTCTTTGTTTTTTGGTGTTTGGTTGTAAAAACCTAACAAAAAATAACTTATTCGTCAATTTTCGACAAGCTATTTTACACGCCCCACCCGATGGACTTGACCTAGACCTTTGCCAAATACCAAAAAATAAAAATAAAAATATATATATTTTACCTGAAAAAAGAAAATATTTTCTCGGAAAATATTTTACATCGAAACAAATGGAGCCTAAATGAGCCACTCTCCAAATATGGCATTCACAATCTCGCTTGCCTTTGAGAATCCAAGGCCAAAGCAACCTTATTAACTACAATTCTGAGAGGTCCAAAAGAAATATTTCCAAATCGAATCCAACACTATCTATCATGCCAACCCAGCCTATTACCCTCCCTCATTTAGAAATGGACATATTTAAAAACCATCCCAACATTTCCTTTTACCTTTTCAGAAGGTGTGACTACCCAAGAACTTAGGAGTGATAATTATGTCGGCAGAAAACGACGGCAGTTAAAACAGTCAGAGAAGGAGGTTTGACCATCATATGTGGACAGTTAACTATTGAATCTGCAGTTTCCAAATGACTTTCCACTTCACCAGAGTCCACCTATGATTCGTTGGTCAGTTGTAGAAGCAATACGCTACATGATACTAATAATAATTTGGTCTTCACAAGCATCCAATACCAAATTGGAATGATTTCATAATTTTCAATACCATAAAACAATAAAACAAAATATTTTATATTATATATGTCTCTGCATACATATATACAATATAAAATATAGCAACACGTCACAAGATGGAATCACACATGAGATACAGCTCTTAATTCTTTAAGTCTGATTAAATAATGAGAAACATTATAGATTGCTCTAGGACGGAAAGATCAAAATATATATATATATCAAAAAATCAAAATACATTTAGGATATCCTAAATCATACACCGGATGAAAGTTCTATTTCTTCTCTATCTTTTTTTTTCGTAAATGGAGGAAATTTTATAGATATAAACAATAGAAATACAAGAAACACATGGGGCATACCCCAAAGCAAACACAGCCTAAGCAAAGCAAACACAATCAAAAATCCAGAAACACCTTCAGGCATACCTAAAGATGTAAAAACATCCCAAAAACCTAATGAAAAACTGAAATGACATCTTGGAGGCATACCCCCAAGATATCCATAACTTCCCACAAAATACACTTAGCCACTTCAACTGGAGAAGCAAAAATTCCATTATGCATTCTATCATTCCTCTCTTTCCATAGTAAGATCGAGCTCATGATATATTGTCTATCGTGTGTGTATGTAATTAGATAGGACCAATGCAATGCATCAAGGGTTTGAACAACAGCTAAATGTGGTATAGTATCTCATTTTCACCAGAGCTTTTATAGTATAAAAGTACCATTTGGCTCTAAATTCATAATTCCACTGCTCTGTATCATGTGACAAACATAACATATGCCATATTTAATCTACAGTAATAAAAATAGCAAAAATAGAGAAATCATTCTACCAAAAAGGAATGTACTTTACCACCCTCAAAACCTTGAATGCAAGCAACTATTGTCTTCTCGATCCTGCACTTCTTAGGTGAACTCTCACATCCTCCATCGGTATCCAACTGTGAGTTGGTTTTTTCATCAATTTTCTCTTTCCCTTTATCAATCTGCCCCTCATCTATCTTCTTCTTAGTTGGTGGATTTGCAGAAGACGTACTATTGTTATCATCGTTACTACTATTATTACCATTGTTTGATCCCTTTGGGTTTATTTTTGGTGAACTGTTTGGCGACTGTCCAGACATGTCAGCATCAACTGCACTAGAATTCAATTCCTTACTACCAGAATCAGGACTAGGCAACGGCGAACCCTATAAACAAACACAGGTCTCACTAACAAATACTTCAAAAACAATCAATTACACAAGAGCACCCACATCTATGTAGAAGTATATATGTGTGTGAGAGAATAAATATAGACAGAGACAGACTATATAATAAATAAATATAGAGAGAAAGGATTACCGGTGTTGTAGTGGAGTTATTATCCTTTGGGGCCAGACCAACTAATTTTCGGAAATTCCAGGCTAAGGAGGCATCAGAACAATCCGAAAAAATCAGGAACAAAAAAAAGATTGCCGTGAGAAATTTATTTCTACCCATTCCACCGATCCAAACAAACTTTGGATACAAAGAAGCCCTAAATGGCTTAGCCTGTGGATATCAAAACCCCATATCGAAATTGAACTTCCAATCCCAACAATTGGTCCAAATACCTCATTTTTTTCAGCAAAATCAGACGCCCTTCATCATTTCAACTCCAAATTCAAATAATTATATATATATATATATATATATATAGCTTCCAAAGGGCTCAAAGATTAAGGCAGTGAAAGGAAACCACAGACAGAAAAATAAACGAATAAAGGATTACGAGAGACAAACAATAAGATGAAATCGAGTTGTAGTTGAATAGAAAGAAGAATATGTAGGTTGCTTATCTGAGACCGGTTTCCAGTGTTTTTAGACAAGTCGTAACTTGTGAATACGAGATCCACCAAGTCTGAAGAGAGGCCATCAAGTCCTAACTTGTTAAATACCTTGGTTTCGGGGGGTGATTTGGTCATAACGGTCACCAACAGAGGATGGAAGGGATGGGCCGGCCCGTGAATAATTCTGTTGGGTCTTGATTTCATCAGCATAGGCTTATCTAGAGCTTAAGAAAACCCAGAACCAGTTTGGGCCTTAGTTTCTAATTTGTCGATTTTGGGAAGTACTGCCTTTCTCCTTACAGTAGTATGCATTGGGTTTGATTGAACCTTGAACCCCATCACACCATCACCCATCAAAAGAAGAGAAAAAAAAACATTTTAAAGAGTTGGTGACTCAGACTTTGAAAGTCAAAAGATGATGTCATTATAATATTATCATTAATTTTTTTTATTTTAATAATAGTTATGTTTTTCAAAATTATACTGTTGTTATGCATTAGATGATCAATCACACATTCCTTTGAAAAAAAACAAGATATGTTGCACGTGTAGGGTTCGTTCTTTGCTACAACCATAACTTCACTTTTTGAATAATCTGTCACTAGCAAATAAGTAAGGTAACAACTAATATGGTAATATGTAACAGGTACTGGCAATCTTACATTTGCTTCTACTGAACTTTTTGGATTGTAGTTCCGTTTCGGCATAATGCTTCTTAGGCCTAACATTTCGATGAAAGTATTGGGCCAAATTGTAAATCCCTATTGCATCCAATAGTTGGGGCCTATATGAATTATATATATATAGGATAATGCTCAGCTAATATTGGGCCAAATTGTAAATCCCAATTGCATCCAATAGTTGGGGCCTATATGAATTATATACATATACATATATACATACATATATATATATATATATATATATATAGGATAATGCTTAACTACTTACCGGTGCATAGCTTCATCTTACTCACTCCTTATGTATTCCAATAATAATTTACCACATCAACTTTAATAAAAAAAAATAGCCCACGTCCTGTATTTTCTCGGATCAACCATTAAATAAACGTGGGTTGTTTTTTTATTTTAACTGATGTGGTAAATTGTTATTGGAACACACAAAGGGTAAACAGGGTGAAACTACTCACCAGTGAGTAGTTAAGCATTATATATATAACAAATTCTTTGTTTTAAGTAAGTATTTGTTTGTATGTTAAGAAGTTCAGTGTAGTGTACTGATCATTAGAAAGCATGTAGGTGATTTATAATTTGAGTAGTCCAGGCGAATGCAAAAGCTACACTAGCACATGCAATATAGTGGACAAGAAACATAGTACAGAATATGCAACTTAAGCTAATTGTTATCACTCTAATCCTTTTGTAAGGAATAAGCCACTTAAAAGGGAACACATATATAGATATAGGGAATAAGATGGTTTTCCAACCATGCAAGAAAGAATAAAGGTATTAATACTGTTTAGCTGCTGAATCATATATATGGCTTCTTTCATTGTTTTGGCTCCAATATTCATTCAACTTCAAGCTCAAACCATTTCATTGTTTTGTTTTTGGCACCATCCATATTGAAGCAAAATAGTGCTGACCTACTAGCTCTATGTGCTTTTGTAGGGCCCACCAACCCTCTACGCTTTGAATTTGGAGTTGAGAGAGAAAAACATTTTCTTAAAAAAAAATAAAGTTCAAATATTAGATCCTAAAATTTTGAAATTGCGCCCTTGCTCCTAAATAATTCATCAAAAATCGAAAAATAAAACATACATGGTATACTTAATTTTTTTACTTAAATCACAAGCCAATATGAATTGGAATAGTCATGATCAACTTAATGAATGTATAATAAGACGGTCAAGTTTGTTGGGAGTCAAAGTTGCATCTAATGACTAAGCGTAAAGACTGCAGGATTATCAAGGGCAGATTGTGATGTTCCCGAGACCTACACAGTTCTATACACCAAAATGTGTGAAATGAACCTTTTGTGTGAAGATATCACCTTTTCATTTTGGGCATAATATATCTGGCTGACCACTGCCCCTGTCTTTTTAACACTTTCCTCAGTTGCTTGTATAAGACCCCTTACGTCAGCTAGCCCGTCTCATGTTGGCTCCCAAACCTCAGCTTGACACTTCCTTCAAGCCATTAGCAACAAAAAGTAACCATACAGCTTTCATCATATACATATATATATATATATATATATATATATATGTGTGTATATGTATGTGTGTGTCTATATAAATAAGTGGATAAGAATCTATGTCTATACGCAAATGGGGACGGTGGACGAAATAGAAGAGGTTCTGAGAAGGTTTGGGGATGAGCAGAGCACATTGTTGGATAGGTTTGAAAGGCTTTCCTTTGAGGTGCAGTTAAACCAAGCCATACTGAGTAGGAGCCGATCTGAGCCATGTGCGCCTCGGACCCGAGCAGCTCCTCCACCTCCGGTGGTGGCGACTGTAGAGCACAGGCGGCGGCGACGTGGGTTGGGTTTCCAGAAGGTTCTGAAGATGTTGCTCAAGCCAATATTCAGAAGAAAAGGAGGAGGTAAAAAGGAAACTCCAGAGGCGCCTAAGGTCGGCCTCAGGTCTTGGAAGGCATTTAGTAGATCTGTGCGGTTGTGAAATCGAATGCTTTATAGTTTTCGAGTTAGTTTTATCATTTCAACATCTCACAGCACATACATTGATTTATGCTAATATCTCAGTTTGCAACCGTTATTGAGTATTGATAATTTTGAGTTTGTTCCATTAATGATGCTGATTTCAAGTGCTTTTGTTGTTTAGTATTACGTAACTCTTTTTTAATAATGTTCCAGTTTGCATCTTAGAACATTATGATTTGGAGAGCTACAAAAGGTATACCTCATTACTTTGCAAGAATAGCTTAGAATTACTAATGAGAACAAAATAATAATGATAATAAAACTACTGATTTCGAATTCAATTTAAAAATTGAGTGAAGGATTACATAACCTAACCTCTATACTAATACCAAAAGTGCTATTGCTATGAGATTTTCTAATGAATACAATTTCACTTGAAAAAAAAGAATACTTTGAGAGCAGAAAATTTAATACTATTGCACATTTCTTGCATCAAAACACAGAGAGAAAACCCTGTATTAGTTTAAGAAAATCTTGTGCAGATGCCGAAGATAAATTGTAAGTAATCTATGCGCGGCTCATGTATTGCCCAGTTCTAGTATCCACCAAAATTACTTGGTCTCTTTCTACAAACAATGGGACGTTGACCACAGCACCTGTCTCAAGAGTTGCTGGTTTTGTTCCACCTGCCACACAACGAATTCACAAACAGCAAGTGAGGAAAAAAATGGGGAAAAGAAGAAGAATAAGAACAGGAAGTCATTCGACTTGGACCCAGAAATGAAAGGAGAAGAGAGAAGAAAACAAAGAAGAGAAAAAGTAATGCATATATCCTATAAGTGCAGCTGGTTTCTTTTTTTATTTTTCCTTTGGTAGATGAACAAATGCTCGTCAGGCATGTTACATCTCAATTTCCAAATGATTTTTTTCTTTTCTTTGGATGAGTCAATAAACAGACAATTGCATGATACAATTGGAAAAAAAAAAAATCTGTAGAGCATATGCACCCCATTTCATTTGTATCCAGACACAGAGCTGCATGATGGCCAAGCATGAAGGGTTATACATATCTTTTCCTAATTTCGTATTATCATCCTATCTGGCCTAATGAATCCTTATGTTTTATGTTTCCAATTCCAAGAAATTCAACCACCTCAACACTACTCGTAGGCCAATAAAATGCATACAACTGACATTTCTCATTTCGATCAGTTGAAAAAAGATACTCAACAGATGCTATCGCTTGTCCAAAGCCAATAGAGTGGAAAATTTCCATTCTGATCTTCAAAATGACTATCGAGCTAATAACCAAGCTATTTGTCCTGCACCAGCGTTATTAGGACATCCTGATCTATGTCTTGCAAAATCTAAAACAAAAACATAACAAGGTTTACCCCGAACTCAACCTGCCCTCTTGTGATGCCATGGTTTGATGCTAAAATACACAGAATTCATGGTAAATTATGAATAATAGAAGAAGCACAACAATACCTTGTACTGTGTCGCCTTTAAGGCCAGGATCAACCTCAACCACTTTCAATTTAACATTGATGGGGAGTTCAAAATCAATAACCTGCAACCACATCAATGAGTAAGGCCGCTTACCTGGAGAATAAAAAGAGAAGAAAGGAAGAGGGTCGGAAACCATATTTCTGAGTAACTCCTTAAAAAAGATGCCGAATACTCTTTTGAAAACGTAAGACACGTCCTCGTCTCAACTAGGTATTGAATTCTTGCACCTCCCTACCAGAGTTGGCAGCAATTATCACCCAAGCTAATAACTGGTGCTATAAAATATACTATACATAAGTAAATGTGCACATCATGTGTGAATTTAAGTGTACTACAATACAACAATCAAGGTTACAAGGAAAATGCCTTGCCCATCTCTCATCAGATGGTTTCATTAGCACTGCACGCCACCATGGACTACTCTTCTAGAAAAACATTTAATCATCCATGTACACCCTGTCCTTTTATGTGGGTTCTTCACATAACAGGAGCATCAAAGATCACTTCCCAAGACACCATCTTTAACACTTTTTCTAACACAGTGTCTTTACGCAAAAAAGAAAGGGAAGGTACCCAGACATTAAGAACAGAAAAAGTTAAACGTACCTTTCCATTCCAAAACAGCAAATTGCAGTCCATGCCTTCTTTCATCCACTTTGTCTTATCTCCAACATATGACTCATTAAGACGAAATTCTTCATATGTAGTCTGAAATATAAAACATTTCATATTTAAGATAGCAATTAGAAAATAGAGTAAGCCTCTTATGCTAGAACAAAATAAGCCAATTATCAAGGTCTAACTCACCCCCAATACCCACCCGTTTCCTTTTGAATAGGAATTTATCCAAGTTTACTAAATTGATTTCCAACTAAAAACCATCCACATTATGAGAAAGAAGAAAATGGAAAATCATACATTCATATATATTATGATACAGCTATCACCACCGGATTTACAGTTCCACCTGTTCAGGTCATCAGATTCAAGGTAAAATCACATCATTGCAGCATGAAGAAAATGATTTAAGCCCCATGGTAGCACATACAGGATCAGTTTTACCTCTTAATTATCATCAGTTTATCAAATTCTGTGGATGATAAAAGTTAAAACTATTCCACATTTGTTTTGAAAAGAAAACATGAGAGGGGGAGGGGGAACTTACCAGATTTGGCTGAATTTTAGCACACCAGATACATTTATGGGTCCATTTAATCGAAGATCCATTACTAGTCAAAATCCTTACTTATACTATGTACTTTATATGCTAAGCTGGAACACCAAAATGTTTTCATCAATAGTATACATTCATCTCATTTTCTAAAGGCAAAAACATTCTACTTTTACAAACGTGAAAATGGTATAGTCAACCTCATAAAGTTGGGATAAAACTTGGTTAACATATTAAGAAATATGAAGAAAGGTACTAGTGCCTCTGACATATTAAATAAAAAGAAATACGAACTATACCAGATCCATGAAAACAAACTGCGAACCATCTTTATACGTGTATTGCTTTGTTTCCTTGAATATATCTGCCACTTCTATCTGGAGAAACGACAACACATCAAAGGAAATCAAAATGTACATATATATAGATAAAGTTCAAAAAAAAAAAAAAAAAACTGACATTGAGGCAGTTTGTAATATGAGTATTATTGTTTATTTCAAAGAAAGTAAAATGTATCTAGAGAAATGGTTACACATCAGATGGATTTAAAAAATAAATAAAGAAATAATAGGAAGCTTGTAATATGAGTATTATTTGTATGTTCTGCAGGAAAATGAAAAATTGAGCAAGTGTATCATTGTCACCGGATCATAACATGTGACATTCAGACATTGTGATGTGAACTGATAACACATATTACTAAAACCATGAAATAATTTACTAGCCTATTTTTAAGTGATCAACTGATTATCTGTATCTTTGTGCTATGAGCATAATGGCCATTGAGGTTTCCAAAATTAGTTTCAAGATTTATTCTCTCAAAAGCCTAGTGGAAAGGAACATGTTACCCTGGATTAATACGTCAGCAAAGTTATGCAAGAGCTAAGGCGAAGCAAGATTGACCTCCACTGTTTATGTGATTAATAGTGCACCAAGGGTTCTGGAGGCAGATAAACAAGACCAGGCACGAGGCTTTCAAATAGTGCACCAAGGGTTCTGGAGGCAAATATGGAGGATTTCCATTTAATCTTGTGCTTGTGTTGAAGTCACACCAACTTCCTATTTTAACCATTCTATTATGATTTTAATATCACGAGCAGTTTCATATTATGAAAATAATTGTTAGTTTTTACCTTACCAATTTGTTTTTGGAAAGAAAGACACACGTCCCAACAACAAACAAACACAAGTAGGGGACGGCAGAAGAGCATGCCTTGGCTCTCACTCAACGAGCTCTTTCCTATAATCAAACTAACCAGGGATGATCCTCACACATCCACAGTTGTGCGTTATGGGGATGTGAACCCTCGACCTTCCACTTGGAGGTAGAGGAGCTCTTGGTGGTATTATTACCTTACCACTCTGTAACCAAAGATTCAAAATATGGTGGTCAGGGTACTAGATAATTTCTTATCTTTACAGTATGATATATCTGCTTATTTCTAAATATAGAAACATAGGGACCTATAGAAAACAACGTCCAATGCAATTACACATATATAAGGTGTCTAACCTCCAGATCTAAAATTGAGCAGCTTAATTGCATTCAGAAAAACATTACTGATTTGTATTTGATGAACATGAAGTAGGTTAGGTACTTTTAATGTCAACCAGGAATTGAAACTTTAGGATTAAGTCTTTGACAAAGTCCTCAGGTTTGATTGAAGCGAGAAAGTCTAGTACCACCATAAGTACAAAATGAATGACATGTATATAGGTTAATGTTTCAAAGTTGTGGTCAATAAAAACTTTGCCAAACCTACAAGGCTACAACATACCATCACATCAGTTCATGTCCCAAAAAAAGGAAAAACGAAAAGAAGAGACCAGCAGATGCTACCTTACTTCCAGCTCGAAAAGTTTTCTCAACTGAATTTCCCGTCACATAATTTCGCAATGTGGTCCTTACATATGCAGCCCCTTTACCAGGTTTCACATGAAGAAACTCTAGATAAGACAACCAAACAAAAGATTAAGAAATTAAAATAAAAAAAATACGAAAATCTTTTAGAAATGTACACTTGCCCGATGCACTCTGTCTCAGAAGGGGAAGGGAAAAAAAAAAAAAAAACAGTCTTTAAGGATTTGATGTCCTGGTTTTCAAAATAATAATACAAAAATACTTCTTTGAATTCATATCAATGCATTCATCAAGGGCATGAATGCCCAGGCCACCATATTCCTTCATTGCTATATGAAAATGTTGATTTAAAATTTGATGGGGTCATATACATCCAACCTCAACCATGAATGAATACAATCTATTTCTAAGAATAATCTAACAGTATTACACAGGACTCACACAAACAATTGCATATACTACCCAATTATCCGCCAAACAAATAGTGAGAACCCAAACTGTTCTGTAAAAACAATAACGATCGGGAAAAACACAAGCGGGTAGTACCAATAACTCTCCAAGGAGCTCCATCTACTTCAATATTGGAGCCCACCTTAATGTCGTTGCTAGAATACGCATATATTTCTGCAAACAAAAAATTATAAATAAATAAAAGAAACGTATTATAAATAAATACATGTTTCGGGTGTATGTGTGTGTGCGCGCAAGTGAAATTGAAGAAATGGAAAGAGTAAAGTAGTACTTGGGAATGTGGGACGGCGGTGCAATCCGGGAAAAAGGCGCATCGAGAGATTGGATGGCTTCGATGAAAATGAAAGAGATGAGGATGGAGGAGCAGAGCGAGGGCACAGAGACGACTTAAACGTTGAAATTCCCGCCATGGTTGTCTGGATGAGTGACTGCGCTCTTCACTCTGTAATTAGTTTCCCCCAAAATAATGTAGAGAGAGGGCCAACCGCAATGGCTTGTGAAACCCCCGACTTAGATAAGGAGGGTTTTTAATATGGATAGGACTTTGGCTCTAACCTTTAGCAAATGAGTTCACTTGATTTATAGTTCTATCTTCTCAAAGTTGAACCACACCGCCCCCCGCCGCCCCCCCCCCCCCCCCCCCCCCCCAAGGTTAAGAGTGCCCTAAAAAATTTCTGACCTCCTCTCAAAATTTGGACAAATTGTTTATTAGTTTGACTTTCCTAAATCTGTTTATTCAAATATGATTTTGAGTGATAAAAGTCAATAATATTTTTATATTATGTTATATTGTATTTTATTTTTAAAAAAATAAAATTGTCATTTTATAAATTTTGATCAATAGCCATTGAATATACACGACAAATTTAAGAGGAGATTAAAGTAATAAATGTTAAATACTTTATTTGTATATGGATTGGAGTAATTTACCCAAATTATTAAAACTCACCCAAAAAAAAAAAAAAAAAAAAAACTTATAAGATGTGTTCATAAATAAATCAAGAAATAAAGAAGAAAAAAAAAAAAGAGGTATACTAATTATACCTTCACAAGTCTATATGAGACCATGTTCACAAAACAAATAGCCTTCTGCCAAAATAGGATGGAATGCTTGTATACCTAATCTATGCAAAGTAGGTGCTTTATTCAGCAATACAAGATGCTCTGCATAACTTTTTGAAATATTTCTCATACAATCGGTTTTTTTTTGTCGAGTTAATAATGTTAGCCCCTAATACAAATAAACAATGTTCATTATTCATTTTATCCTATTAAGAATTGTTGGAAGACTAAATCAAATTCGTTGGACACTTCAAAGTATGTGGAGAATGTCATCCAACTTGTTAGAAGATAAAAGACTAATATTGAAAATTGTGTTTTATTTATTTTCTTGCAATTTGTGTGATTCTAATCATTCTAGAGTTTCTCTGATGATGCCTATATATACATATTCATGAATCATTTTTGTAACCAAGGATTGCAACCAAAGAAGTGAAATTATATCAATGCCGTGTGTGTTCTCATTCTTCAATTAAGAGCTTAAATGTTTCTATAAATCAGAAAGTCAGAGTGGGGAAATGATTTTGAAGCACGAAGCAAATAATATCTGACACGTGAAAAAACAATTATAAGAATAGCCAAGGAAAAGGTGATGTAAGAAAATTCAAATATCCAGTTGCTAGCTAGTAAATGTTTTTTCGAAAGGTGCTAGCTAGTAAGTGTTGCAGCCAAAAAAATGAATGAAAATTGATTCTCTCTGTTACGTTACTTGAGCAGAATAATTTCAGTTTATCTCAAGGCATGTGATTTATGGTTTGATTTCATCAAAAATCCAAAAAAATTGTTGGTCAAACAAAATTCAGGAAAATGAAGAATAACAAGTACTTAAGATATTGAAGAAAGCAATTCATGAAAAAGTTTGAAAACATGTTGAAAATTTGAAATTCCCAAGTCAGCAGGTATGGCAAAAGCTTCAATATATTTCTCCATCTAATTATAAAGGTCAATCGTTATCTACTGAATATATATTGGTTCCTAAATTAGGATGAAGATGATTTTTTTGATACTTGTGAAGATGGAAATGAAGAAAATGTTGATACGATGGAAGAAAAAGATGATCTAGAAAAGATGGAAGATGAAGAAATTTTGAAAGTAAAGATGAGGAAATTGTGAAAGTGGAGTACTTTAAGAAAGAAGCAAGAGAAGGAGTTGATAATGAAAAAAACCATTTCAGAGATTAAAAAAAAATAGTAAATACTAATGGTGAAGTGATGAAAGAGGTAGAATTTGAAAAAAAAAAAAATCATGTTGAAAAAAGGAAGAAAAGAAAAAGATACTGAAGGTATCACAAAAGAAGAAATTGTAGGAATTAAAGTTGGAGAAGAAATTGAAATATAAATCTTAAAGAAGAAAATTAAAGGTTTGAAATTCCGTGTGAAACAAAAAAGTGTTGGAGATAATATGTTCAATTGGATGAAAGAGGTAGAATTTGAAAAAAAAATCATGTTGAAAAAGGAAGAAAAGAAATAGATACTGAAGGTATCACAAAAGAAGAAATTGTAGGAATTAAAGTTGGAGAAGAAATTGAAATTTAATCTTAAAGAAGAAAATAAAAGGTTTGAAATTCCGTGTGAAACAAAAGAGTGTTGGAGATAATATGTTCAATTGGATGATTTTATAGTTGAACAAAAGTCAACTTTCGTGTACAATATTTCTCAAGTGACACAACATTGGTGAACATGGAAGCATTTATTGATTCAAGTGAGCATGTCAAGATTAAATTCATGAAGTCTGAAAATTTCCAAGTGAAGCTCAAGAGCAAATTTGGAGATCGACTACAAGTTTGGGTGAAAAAAATAATTTAGAAGTACGAAGAAGAAAAGATTTAAAACCTGCACAGCAGAGGAGATTCCAGCCAAGATTTTTAGCATTTGAAAATTTGATGTACTTAACAACTAGGTTGAGTATCAGTTCGCGAAGTCACTTCATGGAAAAAAACATTTTCAAGTCATTAGGAGGTTGCTAAAAGAATTTTGAAGTATGTGAAAGATACCATGATGAATGATCAATTGACAGATTTATTCATAGTCTCCTGGTGGAAATAGTTTCAAAAAGAACCTTGTCAAGTTGGAAATGAAAAACAAATTTAATTTACGGGAAACATTGTTGAAAGATTAAACTAAATTTATTGGAGACTTTAAAAGTGTTTGGAGAATGTCAACCAACTTGTTAGAAGATGAAAGATAAATATTGAAATTTATATTTAATTTATTTTCTCGTAATTTGTGTAATTTTAGAGTTCTCTGTTGACGCGTGTGTGTATGTTCATGAATCATTTTGTATAACATCAAATTTATTGAGAGTTCATATAAAAGTGGTGTGTTCTCCTTTTTCAATTAAGTGCTACCTACAAGAATGTTGTAATTTGATTTTCTCCCTAATTTCGTGCTGTTATGTATAAAATGTTCACACAAACATAATTTTTAATCTTTCATCTGCCCTCTTTTATCTTCTCAAGACTCAAACCCATTGAAACCCCCCACCAACTTCACTCTCCTTACCTTACATGATGTAAGTTACATCTTTGCCATATATCGCCGACTATCATGGCCACTTCCACCACCAAACCAATAAAAAAAAAATTCCAGGAAAAAAAGAAAAAGAAAAAGAAAAAGAAAAATAATAAGAAGATGCAGCGAAAAAAGAAAAGGATAATGGCAAAACTTTATTGCATGAGGCATACATAAATGTATTCATTAACCTTATATATATATATATATATATATATATATATTTAATTTATGTAATATTGGAATATACTCATTTTCAAACAAAATATTATTGAGAATACGAGTTTCTTATTAAAGAGGTGGAGGTGATCACCCTTCTTAACAAAAGTCCGAAACTCTTCTTATTAATACTAGTACAAAATATAGAATTAAATATATATTTAAATTGGGAGTAATCTATGTGGAGCATATTTTTCTCTTTCTTTTTCTTTGTGTTTAAACTAAACTCACTCGTGTCATGAAATATCTCTATTAATTTTCTTTTTTTGTTTCATTTTTGTAATTTAAATTGTATTATTATTTATGAACAATAATTCTTGCGGTGAATAATAAATTTAAAATTATTTATTTTTACATATTTTAAATTTAAAACGATGACAAGTGAGTTTATAATTCATTCATTGTTTATTAACTACTATTACCAAATTGATCTTCCCACTTTGAACAGTTTGAAGGTGTCACCAAGTTGTACCTACACACACGCATGACCTCCACGTGAAAAGTGGATTCGGTGGTCAGCACGTCACCTTTCCGGCGCGTGGGTTAGCATTTCCATTTCACTATGTATGTAGTAGGTACCCATGCTTTGGGGCAACTAACATCACCACCTACTAAAATGACGTCATCTGATAATCCTTATCGTTGGATCTGATTGACAAAGAAAATGTAATCGACGGTGATCGTTATGTTTCAATGCTTCCAGTGTCGATAAGGAAGACTTTTGGATGGTGTAATCGTAATATGGGTACTACGATGGGGAAGCAATAGTAATTCGACCTTTAGATTCTCTTCCCCTTATGTTGAATAGTGAAATACGCACTTGGATAAAAAGCGGCTTAGTGGCGCATTTTACGGTGCTGTCCTTAGCCGTGCATTATCAACTTTATTTACGGAGTAATAATAAGCTCTTGATTTTTGATACTCATTCCATTACACGAGAGAAAAAGGATGGCTTTAGCTAGAGATATATGCTTGAGTGACCTCCTATTTCGTACTAATATATCTTCTTTTTTTTTTTTCTCAAAATAAAATAATTATATATTTTTTCTCGAAGCCATTTTACTTTGACAATAATAAAAATAAAACAACAAAAGGAAATACAAGTATTTCTAAAATTATTTTGTCTTTTTGAATCTGATATTTGAAAAGAAATTCTCCTCCATGTCAATGATTAAAAAATAAAATGGAAAATAGTAGGAGTATTAAGAAAATTCTAAATTTTGTTTTATCCATCAAGATTTTTTTTTTTTTGGGGGAATGAAATGATTGTTAGCAATACATAATGCTACAATAGAACTATTTTCTATTGTTTTATTATTTACATAATTTGTTTACACTTCTTCAATTAACGGTGCGTGTAGGAATGACAATTGGGACGATGATTATGTTTAGGGAAGGATTCTCCATCTCTCTATCCCCTTTTTGTCCCTATTTAAAATATTAGGATTCTCTTTTCTGGTATTGCTTTGTCTCACTCAAATTATGACTTTAAAATTATGCATTTCTCTTTAATTATTATTTTACAAGAATGTATTTTCAGTATTCAAACTCAATATGAAAAATCAATATAAAAGAATCAAGGAAGTTAATTAATGTATTTTAGTATATTTAATAAAAATGGGGTATTTCATAAAATAAATGGGGATGGATAGGGTGGGAGCATCTCTCTCCATTCTTGTTCATATCACATTTATTTTTATTTGAGGTATTGTTTCGTTTCTCACCTGAATTCTATCTAGAACTTTTTAAAATTATCTTAAATAGGGCAAACACAAACTTGTATTTTAAGTACACATTTTTAAATTTGAAATTTTAGTGAAAAATAATATATCACTATAATTACTCCCCTCTAGGCTCTAATTTACAAGAGATATTATGTGTGCTTGAAAATTTGCATGATTTATGGAAAAAATTATTGGGTTTTCTTTGTATCCACCATGTAGTCCATTTGGTCAATGGACACTCCCTATGATTGATAATAGAAAATAATTACACAACATTGACGGGAAGAATACATTGTTGGAAAATTTCCAATAATTTATCTAGTTTACTAACATTTTATTTTTCTTGTTTTTTCTTACTTTTATCCATGCACTTACTTTTGGTTACTGTACAATCAAATCATTCACTTCTCAGTTAACTTGCCAATTCAATGAAAATAAATTGAAAAACCTTTATATAGTGGCACACATGATTTTATTTATTTATTATTTAATATATACTCAAACAGGAAACTTATACATTCAAGATTTTGGTGATGTCATAATACAAATGGTGATGTCATAAAACGATTTTCAATTTTATTATTTATATGGCGAATTCACCAAAAATACCATACGCAAGCAAGTACAGAAAGTATTTTCTCAGTTTCCGTTGTCTGAATTTTAAATTTATAGTAAACTAACGGCGTGAAAAAAAAAAAAAAAAAAAAAAAGGAATTTATTTATTTTATAATAACGGAAACAAACAGAGGTTAGTGGGGCAGAAGAAAAAGTGGGAGTCTCGCTGAGTCTTGAAGTATCTTATTCGTGCATGCATTTTTGTGCTTCCTTCTCTGCAACTCTGCATGCACATACATGTTTTGCCGGCCGAACCTCTATCGCCGATCTACTGTCCGTTCACCGGAATCTGACACCTGCCTAGTTCGTCAATTCCACTATTTGATTCCGGAGATTGAAAGGTCCCAACTTTTGAGTACTATGAAATCTACAAAAATAGAACACATCCCTCATCTTCTTCGCTTTCTCAGATTAACATAAAGCAGTATTTGTGTAGTTTTATATATAGAAATTTGAGGTTAGCTGTTGTTTCTTCTACTCATCTACTCTTTAATATTGCTCCGTTAGTTGACCAATTTTTCGTATTTCTCTTCCTGTGAACGTTCAGATTCGAAGCAGGATTTGTTAGGGCTTTTTTTGATTTGTATTTGATTGTTTGAATTTAACAGATTTGAGTTCACGAATGGCGTCCAAAGTCTGCATGAATGCTTTGTGCGGGGCATCATCGTCCTCTGAATGGAAAAAGGGTTGGGCTTTGAGATCTGGTGGATTCGCCAATCTATGTGATAAGTGCGGGTAATTCAGATCTCCTTATTGTATACTATAATTTTGATACATGTATATACATACATGGTATTGTTCGCACAGAGACCTGTTTGTTAGGTCCATAAGATCTGTAATCTGTGGGTTTATCTCAGGTTTTAATTTATGTCTTTTTGTTTTTCTTATGTTGGGTATTTTGTCTTTTTCTTGGGGTTATTAATGTGTAAGACTTTTCTTCTTTTCTTAGCAATTTTTCTAAATTCTATTTATGTATTTTTTTATTTATTTAGGTTGTATTACATTATTTCCTTTTGACTGCTAATTTGGACATCAGAATGCATTAGTATTGTGGTAGTGTCATTCTATTGTGTCCCATATGTTACGAGTTTCATTATTAAACATAGATGATTGAGATATATTCTAGAAAAGTCATTATGGTTATTATTATTATTATTGTTGTTGTTGATAATCAATGATAAATACAATGTCGATGATATGACAGGAGCAAATCCTTTCAAGAATATGGTATTCATATACTAAACCATGCTTTGAGATCGTTTATTCAAGCATGTAACTGAGTATCCAAATATGTTCATTCTATTCATTTGGCCTTACGCTACTAGGCACCTTTGGTCTAGGCCTTGACCCAAATTCCAGTTTGGATTGAGCACCGTGGATTGGTAGACTACCTCAAGCTCAGTGATTTCCAGTGAAAAATATATTGTTGTTGCTGTGGCCGTCTTTTCTTCATCGTTATCTTGGACATGGGTACTTACTCTCATTTTCAGAATTCAGATATTCATGTAATAGAAGTAACAAACCTGAAAGGTACTCAATGAAACATAGAGTGTTTTCGTCATCTGTTCTGTTATTCCTTTGACAGACAGTCCCGTTGAAAATGTGCTAATGGTAATCTAGGTAACATAGTTTGGGGCCATTTATTGATAATGATAGCCATGGTTCATGGTAGTAGATTAGCAAAACTTAATTAAACAGAAGGTGGTAGATTAGGAAGGTTTCACCTAACAGCATAGGTAGCTGAGAAGGCCAGAAAAGAGTGAAAGCCTGGATATTCCAAGACCTGACAGCAGTTCAGGCCTTGAAGTTGACTGCAAGGGGCCTAATAGTTTCCTAGCCCCACTTCATCTTCACAAGTGGCTTGTAATTTTACTAAACTAATCCTTTTCATTAAATCAGAAGTTGTAGATCTCTTGTTGTTTTTGATGAATTTGGTAAATGACTAAAATTGCCAATTTGGACTCATTGTCATCATTTAATGCAATGTTACACTTTAAGCTGAAAATTATCCTTATACGAGGAGATTATGGATTCTCATATGACACATACAAATTTTGGCATCTTTATGACTCCAGGTCTGCTTACGACCAACTAGTCTTCTGTGACATGTTCCACTCAAAAGACACTGGTTGGAGGGATTGCACTTCGTGTGGCAAGGTGAGCTGGTGGCATTATTGGTTGCTTTCATTCTCTGCCTAACAGGTTGTGTACCAGGTCATTTCTATCTTGTAATGCTGTCCTCTGATATCTACTTGATTTTGGTATTGACAGCGTCTTCATTGCGGATGCATTGCCTCCAGCTCTTTGCTTGAGCTACTTGATTGTGGTGGCGTAAGCTGTATTAACTGCATGAAAAGTTCAGGACTTCATCCTGTAAGATCAATGCACAATGCACATATGCATCTACGCAATCCTTTGGACATATTACACATGTATACCTCCATAGAACTGGGAAATGTTTAACTTGTTAATAAGTTTTTCTAGTTGAACCCTATCATCATAATGGCTACAAAATGCCAAATCTGAAAACTGGTTGTGTTAATGCTTCAGTCCATCATATACAAATAAGCAGTTCAGATTTAGAATTATTCACTGTTTAATGAATAGTTCAAGTAAAGGGTTCTGTATTTTAAATGACACTAGTTGGGGCTATAATTTGGTGCTTGTCATTTATAGACACTTCCTCAGCTGTGAAGGTGTTAATTGATTCCACTACGAATTAATTAAGCTCCAATAAGGGATAATGAATATTTTTGGTCAGTACCGAAACAATTGGTTGATAACTTTCCGGTTTAACTATTGTGACATTTTCTGGTGGAGTTTTTATCTGCTTAGTTCTTTCTTGCATATAATAAATATAATTTTAGAAAATATTTAAGACTTTATTGGCCTTTGATTTTTCCAAAGTTTGACTAGAGGAGTTTTTCCCAATACTTTCCTCCAATCTTCAAGTATCTATAATGATTCTAAATTTTCATGCAGATCCCAAGTGATGACAAGCCGAAAGTATTTAGCATGTCAGAAGCAAATAATGGTGGCGAAATGAACTACACTTCTGTGGACAATCAATTGGATGGTGGTAATATTGAAAAAATGAAGGTCGAGCAGTTGGGCAGTAGTGCCGATCGTAGTGGCCTGAAACACTTGCTTCCTTCTCAGGATGATAATACAAATGGATCTCTTGGTCCAACGAAACAGGAAGAACTTTTGCCTCCTCCAGGAGAATTTGGAATCACATGTATGTCAAATTTCAATCAAGCATCCATTGGATCATCTCAGAATGCAAAATTAGACATGTATAAAGCAAATATGGGTGTCAAAGATGTATACGAGTCATTGGCTCAGACAAACCTGACTATTGCCTTAGCTGCTCCTTCAGGAAAACCAATTGCTTTTCCTGGTTCGGTTGTTGAAGAAAGGGAATTGAGGACAATTTCTTCTTTTCAACAGGGATCTAAGTCTCACCATCTTTTGCCCAAGCCTCCGAAGTCCTTCCTTGCTGCAGGTCTGGATGCAAGTGCCAATATGGTTCCTCAAATACGTGTTGCAAGGCCACCTGCTGAGGGACGGGTGAAGAATCAGTTGCTTCCTCGTTATTGGCCCAGGATTACTGATCAAGAGTTACAGCAGATATCTGGAGAGTATCCATGATTATTGATTTTTTTTTTTTTTTTTTCCTTGGCTATTATTAACCAATTATTAAAACTATGCACCACAGGCTTCATATTTTTCTACTGTCTATGATGGTGATTTCTTTAACTGTATTTTCTTCAAGCTCGAATTCAACCATAGTGCCATTATTTGAAAAAGTTCTGAGTGCCAGTGATGCTGGTCGAATTGGTCGCTTGGTTCTCCCAAAAGCATGTGCTGAAGTAAGTTCCGTATCATCTAATTGTCCTTGCTTTTCAGCTGATGGAATTTATAATTTATTTTATTGAATGTAATTCTAAACCTTTCTTTTGATGAGACCTTTGCTGTATTATGAATAATCTGAATCATTATACAGGCATATTTTCCACCTATTTCTCAACCAGAGGGCCTTCCTCTGAGAATTCAAGATGTGAAGGGGAAAGAATGGGTGTTTCAGTTCAGATTCTGGCCAAATAATAACAGCAGGATGTATGTTTTAGAGGGTGTAACCCCTTGCATACAGTCCATGCAATTACAAGCTGGAGATACTGGTATAATTCAATGCCTTCTTTGCTTGAGCTTTCAATAGACATGCATTTCAGTGGTTTGGTATGGTTGTGATAGTAATTACTTTAGTTATCTTGTTATGATTATCAAGTTTTCACTCCTTCTGTGACTTGTATATACGTTGCCAATCATTTTAATATTTACTAAAACTGTTGTGATGTCTATATGTACCCCCTTTTGTCTCATATACTAAAGCGCTGGTAACACTGAATCTCTAAGCATTTGGTTTTCATTACAAGCTTCAATAAGTGAGAAGGTTTGAAAATTTCATTCTTATATGTGTTCCTCTTTTCTGTCTGCTATGATTGATTTGCTGTTTTTGGGGACTTCGATCCTAAACTTATTCTAAAAACTGATGTTCTGCTGTTTCAAATAACGTAATTGTATGTTAACGGACACCTCATGCAAGAGAATGTTGTCAATTACTGCTGCAACGTTATAAAAGGCCATCTAAGTTCCAATAATATCTTTTTTTTTTTTTTTTTTTTTTTTTTTTTTTTTTTTTTTTTTTTTTTTTTTTTTTTCTAGGAATCGAGGTACATTAGTACTCCTTTTTTAACGAATTTAATATTTTCTGTTGCAGTAACATTCAGCCGCATGGATCCGGAAGGAAAACTTCTAATGGGATTCCGGAAAGCATCAAACTCTATTATTATGCAGGTAGTGAGCTTTTGTGGTGGTCTTCTTTATTCCAATATTTTCCATGATAATATTCCCTACTCTAGGACTTCAATCTGCATAAAGCACAGCCAGTTTTCATACTGGCAAAGTTGAAACATATAAGTTTAATATATAAATTATGAACTAATTAGGACACCCATCTGTCTGCTATGTCCAATGACACTCTTTCAAGTGAACCTTTCTTTTAGTTTGTTATTGAGAATCTACCTATAACAAATAGTTACTCTGGTCTTCAGTCGCTCAAGGGAAGCACAGATTCCCATCTAAATGCATTGTCGAGACATTTGAATTCAGCCAGTGGGGATTTCGGCTGGCATATTACTGAGAAGCATGGGGGAAAGGCAAGGGATGGTTCGCTGCCACCATCAATGCTGGGCCCAGAGAGGAAAAAAAGTCGAAATATTGGGTCAAAAAGTAAGAGGTTACTCATTGATAGCCAGGATGCTCTGGAGCTGAAACTTACATGGGAAGAGGCTCAGGATATGCTCTGCCCAGCTCCTAGTGTTGAACCAAGCGTTGTCACGATTGAAGATCATGAGTTTGAAGAATATGAGGTAAGAGAATTTCCCACAATTTCAAATATTGTATTGTTTGTACCTTGTTCAATTAGACTTCTATCTTCCAACATATATTAGAAATTTAGAAACATCAGATCTGTCTGCCGAGGGAACTCCAGAATTGCATTGATATTGAGGGGAATGTGAGAAATGTATAAGATTCCATAGTAGAGAAAATTCTAAATTGATGCCTTGCAATTTTCCTGAAACCTTGAAATTTTTATGTATTGTGAAGGCTTTTACCTTGTGGGTCCTTTGTAAAGTTATTAAAAAGAAAAGAAAAAATGCATACAATGTTGCATGTTAATGTCAAATCTTTGACAAGTCCTATAAGGTCTCTATTAAGTATTTACACAATATTTATAAGAAGCCCTGCTGTCACCCTATTAGGGGTGTATTTGAAGATGCCCCTTCGGCAATCACAAAATTTTAGTTACATTGAATTCTTGAGAGTAGGACCCTTTATCAAGGTTTGGTTTAAACATCCTTTTGGAGCATTTTACATACCTGTTGTTTATATATATACTATTGGCACTTAAGATGCATAAGCATTCACAGCCAGTTATTGACTTCCATCCGAAAGAAGCAGTTTTAGATATATCATGTCAAATGCCCAAATGATTTGATGAACGTTGACAGTTTTGAATCATAAATGCTACCTTGTTATTTTAGTAAGCTAGCTACTGCTTTTTCGGTTGATATGTATTTTGTCATGTAGGAACCCCCTATTTTTCGGAAGAGGAGCATTTTCACTGTCCGCACATCTGGGTAAGCATTCAATAATCTTTTACAATGCAATTTAGTGTGCTACTGAAAATACAACCATGAGGCCCATATAGAAAGGATCTTATCTGGACCAGGTTAAAGAAATTCCTTTGCAACGAGGGAAAACCCATTTCCCCAGGAACCAATTTCTAAAATTAATGGGAAACAATTAGTAGTAATGATATCTTCCTGCTGGTCCCCTTATTCAAATTTCAAACATATGGAGAAGTTATTCAAATTTCAAACATGGAAAATAGCATTTGCATTACCCTTGGGTTAGATCCCTTTTTATTCAAGTGAATTATGGAGTATATAAATTTTCCATTTGACACTTTTTCATTGTCCACTTCTCAAACTGGTAACTATTCTTGATAGCTATAAGCTTCAGATTTAAGGATGTAGTTCCAACACTCTGGTTATCTGGAGTAAAATTTGTTTTTTGTCAGAGGAAGACTATATTCATTCCTTGATTTGATTTTCATATGGCATTCCTGCAATAATCAGGACTTTTAGATGCATCATATGAGTAGGTCAAATAAAAATACAAGTTTCTTGATCCTTCTTCACTGTTCAAGATTCCTCAAGATCAAATCATCGGAGCTGTAACCTGGTTTCTTAAATTATCTCATAGATCTTGTTGTCAAGCACTAAAATTGTGGTACCAATTACACTGGCGTGTTATGGTGCCACTTGCACTGTAAAGCAGGCAGAGTATCTTCTGTTTTCCTTTGCCTAATGTAATTATATATTTCTGCTATATATGCTTGAAGATACATACTATTCTACCACTCTTTCTCTGGGTTCTTCTTAGATATATTCATCTAGTGCTGAACTTGATAAGCTTGATAATCCAGGGGGCAAGAGCAGTGGGCTCAATGCGATACTTGTTCTAAATGGCGAAGGTTGCCGGCCAATATTCTTCTCCCCCCTAAGTGGACATGTCCTGATAATGATTGGGATCGAAGCAGGTTTGTCATGGTTTTTTCAACACAATGAACATTTTATGAGACAAGAACTTAGAGAAAATGATAAAATGTTTTATGCTTAATTATTTGTGTCCTCAGGTGCTCTTGTTCTGCACCAAATGAATTGAACCCAAGGGAACTTGAACATCTTCTGAGACTGAATAAAGGTATGATGCTAATTTATGAATATAGCTTCTTTTTTCATGTCATGTTCATGTAATGTGTAAGCGTATTAATAGGCTGGTTGGGGTTTATGGATAGCAGTAATTGCTACTTGAGGGTTCCAGGAATAATGCAGCAATAACGTGTGCATAATAGAAAATCATATGCAAGTTTGATGAACCTATATGATAAATCATCCCTTTGGAATAGAGTATCCGTATCCTTCGTCTGGTTGCTGTTCTCTCATAGGAGCATTGAAATAATTTTTTGGGGTACTAAAGCATAAATGGGGAGAAACCAGCATAAATGGTTAATTGACTTAATTTGTGCTAGTATATAGCCTTCCGAGGATCATGCTTTTGCATTTTGTGTACATTTGATAAATGTGTGTTCAAATTGGTGAAAGTGAAACTTTGTTGAATCTAATTGATCCATAAAGCATGCACATGATGGTTTCTCGTTACGAAATGTTGGAACATTATGTCGATTTATATGCATTCACATCTGCTTATAACATTTAATTTTTCTAGCTGAAATTTTACTCTATGAGGTGTGTCACTATTTCTGAATGTTCAAAGATTTGTGACGGTGGTTTTCTTTTTTCTGTTGTCGTATAGATTTCAGAAAACGAAGGATTGCAACAAGCCATAGGCTAGCACAGGATCATGAATCCACTGGCCTAGATGCTATGGCCAATGCAGCAAGTTCTGGAGACAATGCAAGTGACCCAGGTGCTACATCAGTAGCAACCACTACAAAACATCCTAGACATCGCCCTGGCTGCTCGTGCATTGTGTGCATTCAGCCCCCCAGTGGTAAAGGCAAGCACAAGCCCACTTGCACATGCAACGTCTGCATGACGGTCAAACGCCGTTTTAAAACCTTAATGATGCGTAAAAAGAAGCGTCAATCAGAGCGTGAAGCTGAGATTGCCCAGAGGAACCAATATATGTGGGGGTCCAAGGATGAAGTAGAAGCAGACAGCACCTCTGGACATGTAACATCACACCTTGATCCTTCAGAGAATGAAGCCAGATTGGGAAATGAGTTACAATCAAACGGCCAAAGCAACATGTCCAGCAAGTCTGCTGAAACCGGCAAGGGACAATTAGACTTGAATTGTCATCCCAGTCGCGAAGAAGACTCAAATCCAGGGCCAGCCCGTATAAGCATGATGAGTCTTCTTCAAGTAGCAAGCCTGCCTTTGGAGATTTATCTGAAGCAGAATGGTCTTACAAGCTTGATTGTTGAGCAACAAGCCAGTTCAGGATCACAAGTGCTGCCACAAGCAACTGAAGAGAGTGAGGAACGACCTCATGAGGATGTTATTGCTCCAGTGGCTAAAGAGCAAGAAAGCGGGGATGAAGATGAAGACGATGATGAGCTTTCTGGACACCAAAGTTGAACTGATCCTTCGTGACTTACCTGAAGTTGTTTTCCCTTCTTTTAATTCCATTTTGTAAATATATTTTTTCTTTTTTCTTTTGTAGTTAAAATTTATACGCATTCCCTCAAGTGTGATGGAATATTATACCAGTGCTTCAAGAGTTGCATGTCTATTTTTCATATAGTTTGTACGTTTATATAAATGATTTTAAGTTAAAAGAGGGTTGTATACATGTATTTTAAGTCAAATTTAGAGTAGAAAATTTCCATGATTTGGTTTTTTCAAAGTCAATTCTTTTTTCATTTTTCTCTTTAGGTAAATCAAACTCTTTTTCAACTCATGATCTACTGGTTTTACTACAGCTATTACAACTATATTTTGCAGTGTTTCTTTGGAGAGAGAACGGTTGATTAGTTGAAGCCATGGCCGTTTCGCGTCTGACTAACCATCCATATTTTTTAGTATCAATCACCAGGAAAGGAGCTATGACACAAGGTTGAGATCACCCTCATCAAATATGATGCAACAAAGAATCAAAAAGAGAGGGAAAAGAATCATCAGCAGAACACGGGCTCTGGTTATTGGAGAGTAACCAACCCAGAAAGATACACTTATCTACAACATATCATCTTCTCCATATCATCTTCCTGAAGAATGGAAGGTAGGGAAAACACATCTTTATCTTCTATATATCATGTAAAATTAAAATAAAAAAACAAACAAAAAAAACGAAAAATGAAAAAAATGCTCTATTAACAATCAAAATCCTTTAACACTAGGCATTCGAACAGTTGAGGCCGATGATCTCCGGCTCTCCTGTCGTTCCATTTCCTCCAAAGAAAGAGTGGAGGAACATCGGGGAGGAAGAGAAACAGGTAATCCATGTGGCCGAGTTGGAGAAATTGATGGTCTGTTTGTTGGAGACGGGGAGAAACTCAGCCTGGGAGCTGGAGTAATGATCCCGTTCAGGCTCGGTGATCTTGACATATGTTTTCCAGCAATTGCGCCGGGCTCTTGAAGAGGGAACCGGCAGGAATACTTCACGTCTTGTATGCTTTTAAGACGGTCTACAATGGTTCTCATGGTGGGTCTTTCTGATGGATCTATTTGAAGACATTTTTGAGCAATATCAGCCACTGTCCGGGCTGCTTTGGATGGGAAGCGGCCTTTTAGCTGAGGGTCCATGATCAACGACAATCTACAATCATCAGCTAGAAAAGGCCGGCTCCACTTAACCAAGTTCAATTCTTCCTTGGGATGGCGGCTGTCACGATTCTTCCTGCCGGTAAGCAACTCGAGAAGCACAATTCCAAAACTCCAAACATTGCTCTTCGGGGTTAGCAATCCTCTCTCCAGTGTCTCCACTGAAAGATTTGCCGAGGCCTGAAAGAAGTTTATAATACGAGAATAATTAAGCAGGATAAAAAAAACTCATTTAAAAAAAAACATGGAGGTTGTGTACAGCAAATGACTCCAACTGTAGAGAGTTACTCATGCTTGGGCTCTCAACAGAAGGTATAGGAAAACAAAAATTTATTTATCTAGTAATCTCACAACGGTGGACCCAAGGTTGAAACTTCACTGCTTTATCATGTTTCAGACTTGAGCAATAAAAATATAATATGAAGCACTTTAAAACTTTGGGCTCCATTAATGATACAAAATTAAGGATGATGTACAAGTACACTTACGTGAAATAACATCGGTGAGCCCTACAAGTTCTCAAACCTAGATTTCTCTATGGTGCTTCTCTATAACCTAACAAAAAAGTATTTACGCGTTACACTTTTATTCTTTCCCCCTATTTTCTCCTCTTTCTTCTCTCAACATGTGAAGGTTTAAGAGTCGTGATCAAAAGTAGTCACGCCTCTTAAGTCTGTCGAAATTAAAAGAGCATCTTTAGAATCAAAAGGAATATTAACAAGATAACAATTCTAACTATGAGCACTTACAACTGAACTACTGGAAATCTCTGCCTCTGGAATGTGGCTAATGCAACCATATCCTGAAAGTTTTGCGCTAAAATCTTTGTCAATCTGTATATTGGCAGTTGAGAATTCATTGAACATTGCCTGTAATACAAGGAAAGCATTCATTCAAAAGTCAGAAACTTAAACGAAGGGGAAAAATTGACCAGACTAATTCATTAGAATTTAAAACTTTTCAAGTAATCTTAAAATAACTTTAAGACACTAGTAAAAGTTGTGATTACCTGGAAAGGCCCTTCCTCATGTAAGAAAGTGAGACCTTGTGCAGCACATAAAGCAACTTTCATCCTGGCATTCCAATCAATAGGGGGACCATCTGACCTCCCATACAAAAGGCGGTCTAAGCTCCCATGGCAAAGCCTTTCAAAAACCAACATTCTTTGTTCTGATCCTTCACGTGCATGAAAACCAAGCAATTTACAGAGGTAGGGATGTTGCAAAGTTGAAAGAGTGTTCACCTCATTTATAAATTCCTTCAAACCCTGGAAGAACACGAAAATGGTGAGATTATAATCAACAATACGCTGGAACTTTCCCGAAAGTTCAGATGCTCAAATATGTAAAAAATTGATAATAAAAAGAAAAAAGACATCACAAAGATGGCAGTATGAATTTGTATGTATTAGAATTTGCTAAGTTTATCGTGTAGGATCTATGTTCTTAATTACTGTACCCCAAGGGGTTGGCTCCCGTGGGTAAGTCAATTGGCCCTGGTGCCTCATGAAGTATAAGGTCTAACATTTGACTCCTCTTGGGTGCAAACAATCCCTTAGGGGTGGATGCGTGAGTATCAACTAGGAAAAAAAATTTGTTCTTAATTACTGTATATACTAGTGACAAAACTGGTTATACATCAGTGCACATGTAAACAGGGTATGAATGGTGAAAAGATTAGGGTATGAATGGTGAAAAGATTAAAAAGTGACTGGGTAAGAAAGAAAGCTGCAAATTCAGCCCAATAGCTGAACTCCAATGAAGGCATGGCTATCAAACCTAGACTAGTCCAGTGGAAACATCAATTGATCCCTTGTAAGGCAGAGGAATCATAACAAAAAAAGCTTGGTCAGCCAATCCGAAATAACCAAATAATCAAATATTACCTGGGCAGATGGGTGAAGGCGAGTGACAGTTGCTTCAAGCTTTTTTGAGACAGAAGCATCATCGCCGAAGGAAGCTCTATAAAATACGGAAGAAAGACTTTCTGACATGCATCGATCAGGGGAGAAATTATGGCAGGCAGCAGCAATTTCTTCAAATGAAAAGTTACGTAGTGTTCCCATAGGAGGCAGAGGCAATGGTCCAGAAGCATTGAGAGGAGGGACAGGCAGTGGTCCAGAAGCATTGAGAGGAGGGACGCTGGCATTTACAGCTTTAAAGCTTCCCATCGTCTTCAAAACAGCAGCACTCTGAGGTGAAGGAAGAGGTAGGGGTTGTGGACTCGGGGAACGATGTTCCTTCATTGATCCAACCCGACCCTTTGGCTCTTCCTGTTCCTCACAGTCACATTCAATTGATGAGAGAGCCTCTTGTTCTGCTGCATCGAGGCTAGATGGGGCAGATAATGCCCGTGTTCTACTGTTGGCCACTCTATTAATTGGGTGAACAGGTTTCACTCTGTTTCTAAAACTTGGGGGCGCAGATTGCAAAGCACGAGTCTGGATACGCGGTTCAGGCAGTGTAGTGGGTGTATGCTCCTGAGGGTTGACTCGTTTGACATAAGTAGCCTGCTCAGATTTTTTCTTCTTACTCTTCAAAACTGTGAAACACCCCATCCTCTGCACAAGGTTTTAGGCTGTATCAAGGCTCAGTATTCTCCTGCAAAATCAAAAATTGGAAACAATGGACATCAACACGCATGAAACCTTGAAAGGTAGTTATGTCTTGGTACCATAGTAATGATTAAATATTAAATAATAATAAAAACTAAGCCTGAAATTCTTAAATATAAACTGAATCATAATAATTTAATTAAAAGAGTATACGGTCATCCCATGGCAGTCGAATGATTCTACTATTCCTTAAATAGGGTTTGGATACAAAATCCTCACCCATGATGGCTCCAAAAAAGAAAATTGAAACCATCAACACAAATGATGTTATCTATGAAGGGTGGGGAGCTTTCATAGCACTTCCACCTGAATTCGAAATCCGCTGATTGGTTAATGCATAACAATATCCCCCATGAAATGCAACCTTTGGCATTATAAAAGTTCAATATCATCAACAATGATTGCCATTTTCCTAATTTTGGAAACGGTCACCAAAAAGAATGAACTTGTAAACCAAATTGCATGGATAAACCACAATTGGGCAGTTCAATTTCGATGAATTATACTACGGTGAAGAACCAAAGAATTAGCTTTAACAGCTCATATTGTTAAATATTTATATACACTGAAATGATTACTTATCCAACTTTGCCAAGTAACCAGATTGATCTAAAAAGTCACAACAATTGGGGAAAAAAAAAAAAAAAATCAGAAGCAAAAACTAGATTAGAACTCTTCTAAATACCACCGTATTGGCATATTGACATGACAATAATATATATAGATATATATGTATTTATCACCTTACCCTATCCTAAAAGGGAACTTTACCAATTAAATTAGAACTCTCATACAGAAGAACTTAGGAACTCAAATAACAGCTAAAAACGGGATCAGCGCACAATCAACTGGACAAAAAATCAGCTCAGATCCAAAAAGACCCAAGTTTAACCAAAAATTAGTGATAGGTAGAAACCCAAAATCACTCAGTTAGGCAGCTGAATTTTCCAAAATACGAAATCGAAAGAAATTAGACTTATGGAAATTACCACAAACGAGCATTCCTATTTCCATGATAAAAGTGAATTAAACAGCAAAAATCGATAAAGAAAATTACAGCCTCAGATAACTAGAATTTTTCAAAAAAGAAAACCCAATTCCAGCTTTCCCAGATTAATCAAGTCAGAAACTCTGGAGATACATCCAAACAACACGAGAAAAAGTAGATTCAAGTCAAACCTAATAAGAATGGTCTCTGCAACCTCAATTGATCTGGAGCTCTTGGCTACAAAGTTTTGATCTTGGCTGGTCAAAAGACGACTGAACAGACCACCAATCTGCAATTAAAATCTGTGGCTGGCAATTTGTGAGATTTGATTCGATTGAACAAAGAACCCTAATGCATACAAGTCAAATAAAAGCCAATGGAAAAAGTAAGAAACAGATTTTTCAGAGAGAGAAAAAGAAGGCGAGGGGGTGAGAGAGAAGAATATTAGTATTAGAAATGTGAGAGGCTCAGAGTAATGGAGCCCAAGAAGCAGTGGTCAAACCAAACCATAAACCCCATAGTTTTTTCAATTAAAGATGTTATCATTATTGTTATCCATAAAACAACATAAATAGCTTTTCAGTCGCTTTTTGACATTTATACCCTCAGACTCTTCACTGCAATCTCCAAACCAACCAAACTGTATTTTTTTTTATAATTTTATTATTAACTTTTAAATTGTGCATTGGCTAAATTTAATTTTGTATGCCTTTAAAAGTTGAATACAAAGACTTTTGTATTACGTCCATAACTTTCTAATCACTTTGTTTTTTTTTTAAAGAATTCTTTTTCTTTTTCTTTTGTATAAAATATATTATTCTAAATTTTAAAAAAATAAATCTATCACATTTTCCTTTTCCATGTGAAAACCAATTTTGAATTTGTTAACTCAATACTTTTCAATTTTATTATCTAAAAAATGGAAAAGATTATTTTTTTTCTTAAATTTTTTTAAGAATAATTTTTAGAAAATATTTAATCAAATGAATTGTTCCAGTAATTTTTTTTTATCTATAAAGAATCCAAAAATATTAAATTGTGACATTACTAAGATAATCCTATAAACTTTCATTGCCAAATTGATAGGTTGGTTTGAAATTCAAAATGGGGAGTAGTAGTTGGTTATTACGGGGGCAATTTAGACATTGTAGGAGTATATAAATAGAGAGTGAAAATAAGGGGCCATGTCTATTATAGTAACTTCAAATGCAGCACCACGATTTTCAAAGAAGAGAGCCTCGATTGAAGTGACAGCCCAGTCAAAGTTGGAAAATTAATTTATTATATTTAGGAAAGCTGTTTTGCTGCGTGGTCAAAGAGACCCATCAACATGCTTCTTTGACCCCAATTGTGTCCCCTCAGATTTGCGGGCGGTTGTAAGATCAACGGCCATCATGTGCCCATCATAAAGCTACACTGGGACCCATTTACGTAAGCTCTCGTTTTAAATTAGGCAAATATGTGGGCCAGTTTTATGGGGCTTATGGGACTTGGGATTCTTTACGTTGCCCGAAAGCGACTTTTAGATTTTTTGTTATAGGCCTTGTCACAACCCAATCAACTTTTCTGGGCCCAATATAAGGGCAGGCTTTGTCCAGAGTAATAGGCTAATAGGCCTACGACAAAGAGGATTGGGGGCTTTCAAGCTACACGAGAGAACTTGATAATGGGCTTGTCATTTTTCAAATGTGTAAAATACCATTTTTCCTTACAATGGTTTCCACTACTAGAACTTGATAATGGGCTTGGTTAATTAAAACTTTATTTTGTTTGAGCCAAGTTCATCCAAGTGATTTAAGTTACGTTGGGAGTACCTTGAAGTAAATTTCCACCAATTTTAATTTTAACATGTCATAATTCAGTACTTCGAAACGCAATGTACATGTTCAAGCTTAGTATTTTGTTGTTCCAGCAAACTTGCAGTATTACTGAGTCTAACAAGCTTGTTATAAACACCATCAAAAGCTCAATTTTGCATTTAAAGTAGCAAGAATAATTCAGAATTAAACATTTTCTTAGCAACTAACAGTTGCTTTTGATGTACTTTATTTATGCAAGTTCAGTAAAGATTTCATTTGTATATGGAGTCTTGGGGCAACAATAAAATTGTTTTATGGTGATCATTATTAGACTCTCCCTAGACCTGCAATGGAGGAAGCTTCTTGCACTCGATTTGCCCTCCGAGACTTATTAATTTAAACAACTCCATTCATGTATTCATGCGTACTGGACTTTGCAACAGCAGTAGAGGGATTATCTTCATAGCTAAAATTGAATTTACATAAATGAATTCAATGGAAGTGTAGGCAGTGATAAAAGGAACCATACATGATTGTGTATTCAAACTATATTATGCTCGGGAATATATGTGTGTCTGTGTCTATATATATATATATATATATGATAAGATGAAACAACATACTTCTCTACCATAATTTAGGAAGAAGCACAAGGAAATGATATGGATGTCACAAACTTCAATGATATAGTCCACTAGAAACATTACTCCAAAACCATTCGACCTCAGCCATTCCAATGGCTTGAACATGACAAAATACTAATACTTGTAACCACGACCAGTGATAGCTTTCAATAAGGAGCTAAATTAAAAGTTACAACAACCTATATAATTGTCCCCTTTGTGAGCCCCAATATACTGTGAATAGCTGGTGAAGATTACCTGAAAAAAATCAAGAAATTTCTGATCAATTACCCGAAAAGTATAAAATAATAATAATAATATAATTCAATACACAAATCCTCAGGAGTGTTGGGCAATTTAGCTTAGGGATGGTCCTTCTTCCGTGGAGGTGTTGAGTCCAACTCTTGATATTACTTGTACAAAGTGATAGTTCGATTACTCGAACCTGAACCCAGTAATCAAGCTCAAGCCCCAAATTTTTACTGCTCGATTAATAGTAAAAATTGAGAATATTATTATTATGCATACCTGGGCAGCAAAGTTCCAAGCTTTCCAAACACAATCTAAAACATAGGCTTCACTGAGCTTTGAAATGTCATTCAAATAAACCACAATACTGCAACTCAATATTGCCACAATTGAAATCACCGATGTGAACCTTGTTCTTCTGGTAATGAATTTCTTGAATACTAAAGCAAGGTAGAACAAGATGATCAAACTGCATAGAATGGCTCTCTTCCGATCCTTCTGAGAAATTGATTGGGACAAAACAGCAAGGCATCCAAAGATTGCTGAACCTATACATATGGCTTCCTACAATTACACAAATCAAATGGCATTACATAATCAGATAAATAAATTAAAATAAAAACAGTATTCACCATTTTCGCTACAGATCTTGCATTTTCCTTATCTCATACCTGAGAAGAAGACTGTTTGGATCGATTTTCTGGGGAATTAGGTAGTGGGTGTCCGAGATTGGAGGTGGGTTTGGCAGCAATTGCTTTGTCCTTGGTGGGTCGAGGATGGAATTTTCCGAGAAAACGGAGGAATTTGGATTTGAAGGATTTTCGTTTCACGGAAAATGAAACTTGGGGCTTTGATCTCACTTTGAGAAGAGAATGACGGAGCTTGATGTTGATGGAGAAAGGAAAGAGCTTGCAAGAGGGTAAAAATGAGGTGGTGGCCTTCAGCTTGAAATTGAAGTGTTTGGCTTTGGCATGAATGTAGATCTTCCATGGTTGTTGCTTATCTGGTTGCATTGTGAGCAGAAGCAGAAAGGCGAATTGTTCCCACAGACCTTTCAACAAGTCTTTGCTCAACATACCTTTCAAATAAATTAAAAAAAAAAAAAGTCCTTGCTTAACATAGGTTAGGTCAATGGTGTGGGTTAGTGATCGAGTCTGGTTAGCTGTTTAAAAGTAAATGCTAAAACCCCAAAACCCTAGACAGTGTGGTTTGTACTCATTTTATTTATTTATTTCGCAATTTGTTTTTGTTTTTCAAAAGTTGAAAACAAACTCATAAACATCCTAAATATTGTTTGGCTTTGAAGACAAAAATTAAAAATAAGATATCAAACTATGAGGATTAATGTCCATTGATTACTCTTTTGGGCTGGTTTGGCAGGGGTTTTGTAATTTTATTTTTATCAAAATATAAAAATACTAATATTTTTGTTGTTGTGTGTGTCCATTTAGAAGTATGTTTGTTTGTTAAGGTTGGTAGAATTTCTTCTAAGATTTTTGAAAGAAAAAATATAAAACATGTTTGGTAAAGCTAGAGTGTTTGTTAAGATATGTATAGTTTTTAGGCTAATTTTTGAAGGATCTGGATTTCCTAGCGTGGTGGAAATCATGGGCTTATCATGCGACTGTTGACATTTTGATGTAAACTTTAATAATTTATGTTAAGTCATTAATTACAAATTTACATGAATATCATATCTTAGAACTTCATAATTTTCACATATCTATAATGCATAAATAAATGGTTAGATATATATACCTCGATTCATGATATCAAATCTTGTTGAGATTAAATCCAACGTCTATGTCCTTTAATCACAAACTAATGTGCAACTATAATCAACAGGCAAATGTGGAAGCTGATTTCTCTTTCTTGACCTTTTGCACACATAAAACTTTTACGTGTTGTATCATTAATCTGCATAATTGATAGAGTATATGCATTTTTATAAAGGTAGAGAGAGGACCAGTTTTCTTTTTAGTAACATAATTCTACTTTCTATCAAAGTAAGGAATAAAAAAGGAAAATACTTCTCCAATTAGTAATTACTAAAAAAGTAATTATAAGTTGACCAAAAAATAAATAATATTAATTGATATCTATTTACTTCGTCACCCAGGAATATGTCACATGTCTAAATCATGTGGGCTACAATTAAATAAATAATCTTACATTTGAGGCATAGTTGGTAGTGATATAAAACTAATTAAGAATGATATTTGTCTATTCCTGATGAAAACTAATTGAAAAAAATTAAAAGATTTTCAACAATGAAGAACAATGTGTGATTTATATATATGTTTTGATTTACGAGTGTATTTGCGCGGATCTATTGGTTCTTATTCAAATTAGATTTATACATATGGGTTTCGGTGGTAAGGCTCTTGTTCAAATTGGATTTATACATTTATAAGGTATACGTGTTTATAAATATGATGGTTGGTGGAGTAGAGAGGGGGGTGGTGGTAGGAGGTTGAGAGGAGAGGTGTAACAGGTGGGTGCTTCGTGATTCGATACAAAAACTTAAACTATTAGGTGGGGTTAACACACTATTCATATAAATATATACCCAATCACTTTCACATCCGGATCCGATATGCCGATATGGGACAAACTATTCTTGTTACATTCTCCCCTACCTGACTTCGCAATGCCCTCGTTGCGGTCGGACCACCCTGCCTACCGGGTGGCTCACCTTAACTCTTTTTGAGCTGGGTGTTTGGTGTGGCACTGGATTAAGGAACTCTGATACTAACTGTAATGGGCAGGTGCTTCGCGATCCGACTTAAAAACTTAAGCTATTAGGTAAGGCTAACACCCGGCCCATATCTACCCAATTACTTTCTCATCTAGATCTGATGTGGGACAAACTACCTAGTAGGGGTGATGACTATCATTAGAGGGTGGAGGTGAGGTGGAGATGACCATGATTAGAGGGTGGGGGTCTAAGAAGTGGAGAAAATAGAGTGATAGATATGAAAGGAGAGAAAGGAGAAAGAAAACAAATATAATAATGATAAATTTATTATTTTTTGGAAGGTTATAATAAGGGTGAATTGTTATGCCTCATGTAGTTACGAAGCATATGATAAGACCACATAACATCCTCATATCCTCAATGAGAGGGGATCCAAGTCCATTTTTGAAACATATTGGGAATAATGTTGAAATGACTCCAACCAATTACAAAATATGTTGCAATTATTTGCCTCGGTATAGAATACCACACCCTCAACATGACGCAACAAAAACATTTGTCAAACTTAACCTTTATGAGTTGCTTTCTCAACAATACCAGTTTTAATCTCAAGGCAATAAGGTTAATATAACGTAATTGGCAGTATTCGATTTTCATAGACGGTAACCGTCATGGATTCTCCCGGTAAAGCCATAGAAGCCGTGAAAGTCTTCTTAGCGGCAAAAAGTAACGGATTGAGTTGCGTGATATTCATTGTCGCGGCGCTAATGCACATCCGTTTTCTTGTTCGCTAGCGCTTTAGTTTTCAATAACCAACACTTTATGTAATATATGTGTCTATAGATATATATACTTATATATTAATTTTTTTTTTTAAAAAATTATCTGAACAAGATACTTTACAAACTCATGTCTTTCCGAAAATTTAAGAATTTGCTTAGTTTGTATTTCTGAAAATAGAAAACTGTTTTGATTTTACTGTTTTCAGAAAAATGAAAACTGAAAAAAAAAAAAAAAAAAAAAAAAAAAAAAAAAAAAAAAAAAAAAACAACTATGCTTAGGTTTAGTTTTTTGAAAACTATTTTATGAAAACACAGTTATAAAAATGCCTGTTTTTAAATCACTGTCTTCTATAGTTCTTTAAAAATTATTTTTTGTTCTTTGAATTTTTAAGAAATATTTTCAAAATTATAAACCAAATAAGTTCTAAATATTCCAGTATTTACTTTGAAGGGTAAAAACATGCCACTAACCAACCACACTTGTTACATTGAAATAATTTTCAAATGAAAATTCAAGGGAACAATCATTCTCTTCATTTTTTTTTTCCCTTTATAAAAGAAGAGTCAATTTCATAATTAATGAGAGACAGATAACCGGAATTTGGTAGGTAAAGGGTTATTCGGGAAGACTAATACATCAAAGAGTTGAATAATATTAGAAACTCTTTAAGAATTTACCCAATCTTATTCTTTGAATGAAAAATCTCTTGTGATAAAATGTTTGCACTAAATCATGTGGAATGAAAATTGAATTGATTTATCAACTGCCAACATGGTCTTTTACTTTTTTTAGGTCAGGTTTATTCAGCAAGACTTAATTGCAAATAGCCGAATAGTACTAGAAAATCTTTAAGAATTTAACCTAAATCTTATTGTTTGAATAAAAAATTTCAAGTGATTAAATGCTTGCACTATCAAGTAGAAGGAAATTGACTGCGAAGATCTGAGGGGCATGCCTTCTTAACATGGAAGGACATATATCCACTAATCTATATATTTACATGAAAATCAAACATTTCCAACTAATTTCCTTACATTTTTCTTTTTTAAAATCACTAAATATGTAAACATAAAAGAGCAAAATTTAGGAGCGGAGAAATGTAGTAGTAGTACTATTGTCACACCATGAGTATACAAAATGATTTGGGTGAATTGCACCTTCAAAAGATTGCTCAAATTCATCTCTATTGATTCATTTCTCTAGGTGAAAAACGTCTGATTACATGTTCTTACGATCACTAAATCTTGTTCCTCTTCTATTCTATAAAACAACCACCCCCAGAGCATTTTGCAATTTGAACTCCAACACAACATGTGAACAAACATCAATGTTCATCCCATATACTACCAACAACTACCAAGTTGAACAGAGTAGTGACTAAAAAAACCTCAAGCTAAATTCTTGATGTTGATTGCTGGGCATTATTAACTTGCATCATCAACCACTACCGCCACGCTACCTTGCCGGGCCGCCCTGTCCTCCGGTGGCTGAGCTGCAGCAGCTTCACCAACTCCATGTGAAGTGGTTGTCTGTTCGAGCACAGAGTGACGGCAATTTGGGCACGAAGAGTGTGACATGAGCCATGTGTCTATGCACCTCACATGGAACCCGTGATTACATTTTGGCAGCACCCTAACCTTCTCCCCATCCACAAAGTCTCCTAGGCAAATTGGGCACTCGGTGGCGGGAATCTCCATGCCTGATCCGTAAACCGCCACCGGAATCTGACGCAAAGCCTGCTTCTTTAGGCCAGTCCTGGCTAGTCGTGCCCTGGCTTGTTCTGGAGTCTCCAGGGCAAACCTACGGCCACAACGTAGTGCACACCGCACAATTGAGTTCAACCCAAGTGCACATATCAGTGCACATAACAAAGCTGCCAAGATAATCACCATGTTGGTGTCAAAATTGGTCTGGGTAAGGTAGGAGTCAGAGGTTTTGTTCCCGTTCATAGGCGGCGCACCAGGCTGTGTGTGTAGAAAGCGGCGATAAAAATTCGCCATTGCTGCTAGCTGCTTTGTTCAGAACCCCCAACAAATTTCAAAACCCTATTCACAGAACCTGAAATGGGGTATGGATTGTTACTATTATGGGGTTATGATGCTACTAAATAAGAGTTGAGGTGGGAAAAAAGAAGAGGGGAATTAAGTAACTGCAAAGAAAGAAAAAAAAGTAGAGGACTAGTGTGTTTTCTTCTCTATTGGGTTCTAGTTGATTTTCTTGAAGCAAAAGTGAAAACTAATGTTGTCAAGATTCCAACTAGAAAAGGACAGAGAAAAAGCATATTATTTGTCTTACTTTAGGATAAGGAAAAGGAAATAATGGTAATTTGCTTGTGAGGGGGGGTGGTGGTTATCCCAAATTCGGGACCCTTTTTGGTGCACAAATTGCAGCTTTTGTTACTCAGAAATGGTCCTCCCTTGTTTTTCCTTGGAACCGAAACCGATAATTAAAGCAAAAACATGATTGAGATTTGTTCAGAAATAAAAGTTTACAGCCTTACCTAGGCTTTTCTTTCACCATATATAGACATGAATTCTCTCTCTCTCCATGTTAGACAGCGAGTTGTGTGATGCAGCAGTGGCTGTCCTGGATTTTGGAAGCCCCAAATTTTAAGTTAATATATAAAGTGAGATATTAGTGGGAAGTTTTCAGATCCTACATATTACAAAGTGAAAAGGGCAAGATATTATTGATTGCTCTGCCTACCTAATCATGATTAGGGTTTTTAAAATTGTAAGAAAACAAATCTGAGTACCAAATCCAACATGTAATCTTTTGTGAAATACTTGTAAGTAAGCAAGTTGATCCAGCTGGTTTTGGTCCATTAAGAACTGTCTATGTTTCGTACGTGGGTATAGATGGCAACATAGTATTAGTGGGAAGCTCTGGCACCATAGTAAGTGGGAAAAGGTGGTACTATAATATAAGATAATAATAACATCACAAATATCTTTCTACCTTAACCCTTTTACAAGCGGCAGCCAACCATCCTTGGACAAAGTGTAGTAAATCAATCTTCCTTGATTGTGTAGAAGGTACTTTTGCCCACTGCAGCAGGAGGAGAAGGAAGAAAAAATAAAAATAAAAATAAAAATTGTTTTGAAAATCCGGTGCAAGCACTCTTCAAGAACATGTAGTCAATTTAATTCCTATATAATCATAACATAACGGATAGTCTGAATGTAATCACAACATAACGGATAGCTTGGATGTAATCTTAATATAACTGATAGTATAAGTAAAGATAAAAAATTAATAGAGGAGCGTACTCAATAATGGACAGCTCGATCCCTACAATATAACTTCCCTTTATTTTATATATATATATATACACACACATTTTTTTCTTTTCTTTTCAAATGATGGAAATAGCTTCACAGTTCTTTTTTTTTTTTTTAATTATTATTATTTATTTTATTTTTGTATTATAATTTTATTTTAATTTTGTAACAAATAATCAAGCCACTTTACATACTTAGATATATTACTTAAGCTTTTTAATAAAAGAAAAATTAAGTCATCAGTTAGCCACTTTGCAAACCATACATGTCACTTATAATAAATGTCCGAACTTATAATTTATCATAATTTTTTTTTTATTCACGGACGACAAAGTACGGATTGTTTTTGCGACAGTTTATGCAACAAATAGGTTGTCTTTGTTATACATACCGGACTTCTTAATTCATGTAAACCATATGCCTAAAACATTTATGTAAGGATTAAAATTTGACTATCGGACATGTTCATTGTTCACCAAGAGACACGGAATTTAAGCCTAAATTCTGTTTATGGCCCATGTTTTTTGTGGTCCCATATGAGGATATGTGGACACACGACAACACAGTAATGTAATTATTTCGAATTTAGCAATTGTCGCATGCCCTTGTTGAGAGTAGCTATCGTGTAACCAAAGGTCCATGAAAAGCCATTTATGATATTAGTAACTACCACCACTTCCTAACCCTATTAATAACGTAGTTAGTTGTTCCAACTCCCCAGAGTCCCCACATACATTTGAGTCATAAGTTCATAACATGGTTTATGTGTGTAATAGTAACCAAAACCAAATTTACCAAACTTTGTGCTTAATTAGGTGAACTACTTTTGGTGCAGGGGTCAAGTCCTTCCAGCATGCATATGGTAGTTAGGGTACCATGCCATTGTTTTCCTCCTAATTTCATAAACTTCCATATATATATATATATATATATATATATATATATATATGTATATATATAAAAGGACGAATGCAAGAATTATCAATAGAGTGACTAATATTTTTTTTAGTGGGCTAATACTGGTAATAATAATTCTTATTTTTATTTTGAGCTATGCTAAAATTAAGTACACTGAAAAAAAAAAATTTGGGGTGAGTTTGAGCACACCCAAACTCCCCCTTGGATCTGCCGGTGTGTGTGATGCCTCCACCCAACCAGTTCACAACATGAAGTACAACTTAATTAACAGAAATCATAATGTAAGGCTTATAATTAAGCACAGACCACCACAAACAGTTTGTTGTGCTCAACTTTTCAAAATTGGTGCCACAGGGATGAACCAACTTTATGCTGCTTTTCTTTCCATGCCACAACATTCTGAGGAGTTCTCTACTCAATTAGATTTTTATTGCAGAAGGATCATATATATATATAATATAGTGTATACTCAATTTAACCCCTAAATATTATGAGTCAGTTAAAATTGTTGGAACTTAGAAAGATCGAAAAGTACACAATTTATTTATATATTACCACATGCCTATGAATTGTTGGTCTAATGGGGCCATATATTGTAGAGTCTCGTACAGAAATCAACGGCAAAAAGTATTCCATATTTACATCCATCGAATATATACATATTTCTCTTAAATTTGAACTAGCGGCATTATTCACAAATTTAAGGCGGTCAATGTTTTCCATTGTTAATTTAAAAAGCAACTGTATGAATTTACATAACTTTCGAAAAGAACCAAAAATATATATATATATATATATATATATATATATGTATGAATTTGCATCTTAGTTAACCTCATGTAATGTTCCTTCGTATATGGTTTATTCACCAAGGTATTGAATTAGAGAGAGCGAATATATATATATACAACCACAAAGAAGTTGACATATTGCTAAATTCTGAGTATAATTAGAGCCCCATCCTTACTCATACTGTACTTATAACTAAAGCTCCTGCTGCTGCAGTCTCACATGTCAATGAACTTCACTCCTAATATGATCGATCCGTCACACAATAACAACACCACCAAGGCACAAAGTCAACAAGCTTTAATTATAGACTACTGCTAAGACATATATAGCCCACATACTAAATAAAACAGAGTACTAAACCATAAATGCAGACACATTCAAACAATGAAGAAGGGTCCTCTCAGTTTAGCAATGGTGATACCGTATGAGGTAAATATATGATTAAGAAAAAGACTGTTCTATGAACTTGGATTGCTCTTAATATCTCCTTTTAATAAATAATAATAATAAAAAAGGCATTTTCGAAAAACCTATCAACCAAAAGAAATTTGGAAATGTTTTGAGAAAATGAACCAAACATGTCTGTTCTTAGTCATTTATCGAGAGAGATAGGAGTTATGTGATTCTTTGTGGTTGCATTCAACATATTCCAACCTTTGCACGAATGAAAATCACGTGTGTGAGCTAGAATCCGTTGGATACAATACAACACTGCACAAGGTCCCAGCTCGAGAGATAGATACCTGAGCAGTTGGGGATGGAGTCGACTTCACACCTGCTAAAGAGGAAAGAAATAGCGAAGTCAGGTGGGATGCGGCCGTTGGCAAATGATTTGACGCACCGGCAACCCTCTAGGTGGTTTTTATTATCGCATATGATTGCTTGAATTTGTTACAGTAGCGTCCAGACAACTTGTTGCCCTACCTAATATAGCTGAGGCACTCCCCAGTTATGTCCTACTCACGACTGCATGATGTTTTGGCAAGGGGTAGTTCTGTTGTCATGGTGACCATACACATTAGCACCATACAAGTTGTTACGGGGGCGCAAGGCCCTGTACGATGATGTGGTGCAAGGACGACACTCATGCTTGTTGGTAGGCATAAGCACTTGACCGGAATGGTTCTTGGGAAGGGGCGTGCAGATCTCACACTCACACGATAGCATATGGTCATCGCCTGCACAAGTTGGTCGGGATCTGGAGTCGTTCCCCTGATGAAGGTCAAGGCAGACCGAAACCAGTTAGCATGTAGCCTTGATGTGGAGGTTGTGTAGGCTAAGCCCTGTAAGGGGTGCCGCACAGGCCATCCTGTTGCGCATGAAACTTGAAGCCTGTGACAAATGGTATCATAGCCGGAGGGGAGGTAGCACATGCTTGTTGGTAGGCAGACACTCATGCTTGTTGGTAGGCAGACGCACTTGACTAGAATGATTACAGGGAAGGGGCGTGCAGGTCTCGTATGATGGCATGTGGCCATCGTCTACACAAACTGATTAGAACTAAAGTCGTTCCCCTGATGAGGGCCAAGACAGGTCGAAACCAGTTAGTATGTAACCTTGATTTTGAGGTCGTGTAGGCTGAACCCTGCGAGGGGTGCCGCATGGGCCGTCCTACTGTGCACGAAACTTGAGCCCATGACACGAGCCACCTTAAGCATCTCTGACCTAGCCATTTTAGTGACTCTTATTCAAGCCTTTGACAATTGCCACTGTGTGTATGTTATTGTTATGTAAAAGGCTTCTCGGGGATGGTAGATGGATAGAAATGGTTAGTTGTTTGGCCCTTGGTTGGGCTTAATTCCTTGCTTAATTTGGTGATTCCTTCACGAAAGGGTGTAATTAAATTCTAACAAAAATATTTAATGATCACATTATGAGCCAACATCCCATTACATAATCCTAAAATCATGTGAGTGATTACGTTTAACTCGAACCCTCATCATTCATTTTATGAGGTAGAGGAAATATCACTGGGGCACAAGGCCGTTAGTAACTATGTTTACATTAATTCACAATTTAACGTTTATGGATAAGAAATATGTTAAAACTTCCAAAAAATTCTTTCTTTTTCAGCTAATTTGTTCCATAACAATTTCCTCTATATATGTTTCTAGATCATACTGTGTAAATGTCTTCGTTATTTGGCTTTGTTTTTTATTTTGTTTTCAATAGGTAAGAATAAGTTTTATTATGTAAAAGCAAAAGATGTACAACAAGATTAAATATGCAAACAAGCAAAAGATGTACAACGAGATTAAATATGCAAACAAATTATTGGTAACACGAGAGATAAAGAAAGAACTTGATAATCAACCAACTCTCAATAAATCCTATACTTTTTATTTTTTATATTAACTAGAACGGTTATGGGCAGCTGGTAAGTTTTTTTTTTTGTTTTTTTTTTTTGGTTGCAGAAAAATTCAGGGAAAAATAACATTATAATGTATTAATAAAATGGGTAGGCAGAAAAATATAGGTGTTTAAGCACGAGCATAAATGAGACCCAACCAAGGTCCACTAGTAGTCTTGTACCAACCCAAGTTGGAAATGTAAGCCGAAGTTTGGCATCCCCAATTTCACTAATTGTGTTAAAAAAGGTCCACGTGCTGAGAATTGTGATCATTCGTTCCATTCATAAAGATTTATTAGTTAATACTTATTACTTAATACACATAAGATCTAATTAAGGTGCTATTCGGTAGTCTTATTAAAGGTTGAAATTTGGTGGGTTTTCTTCCGCTAGGGCTTAATTCTTATAGTGTGCACAAGAGTCTACTTTTTCTAAAGTACTTCTTATAATTTATCCAATAATTTTATCAATTGATTTTAGAGTCTCGATTGCTTTTCTAATAACCTGATATTAAAATTTTCATTTAAAATCAAGAGCTGGTATGAGTAATTTGAACAAATGAAGAATATTTTTTCATATTTATATTAAACTTTTAAAAAATTCATAATCTTGAAATATATTGACTTTGACTTCATGACTTTGTAAATTATAACCTTCAAAACTTCATAGTCCTCTATAATTATCCTTAAAATGTTAATATTATTTACTTGGCTTATTTTGCTGGTTGAAAACGGAAGAGCAATCCATGCATTGCGGATGGGGGAGAAAGAATAATTAAACTAGCAGGACTTAACGAGAGGTGTAGTATACAAATAAATAAAGAAGAATAATAATTAACCTATAAAAAAAATGTTCTCTAAGAATTCCGCTGAACATTGCAATAGCAGAAAAATATGGATATCAGAAAGCGCAGGCATCCAAAACTTAGATCCAACATTGACAAGTGGTCGAGCTTAATACATCGATAATTCATATTTCAAAATTCTCAAAGACCATACAATTAAATCTAGAAGAGATACCAATTCTTAAATCTTAATTACCTGAAAACTATAGTTGACCTACCACAGAAAATTATAGAAATAGGAACACAGATATGTAACACTCGTACTTTGAAGATGCAACACAAACACAGCACATTAATTTTTTTAAAAATTACAAAACAAGGACTTTTGGAGCCTATTTACACAAAAGATGGAGTCAAACATGAAATTTTAAGAAAATGAATTTTCGTAAAAAGAGCTAATGTGTATATGATAAACACTGTCATTTTATTCAATTACCCAAACAAACTATCATTACAGTTTTGACAATGTTTGGCATGCGTTTTGTTTTAGGCATTTTGTTTTTGGTTAAAACAGAAATAGTGTTTTTATTGTATGAGAGTTTTGGAAAAAACTTGGAAACACGTTAGGAATAATATTTTGTTATGGAAATGTTAGAAACGAAAACATGCACAATTATGGTTTTGGGTCATGAATAGTTGTCAAAATAAGAAAAAGCATCTTTTTGGTGTTTTGGTTTTGGGCGACTATTCACGAAGTGTTTTAGTACTATGTAAAATAAAATAAGGCTGCACCAAATATGTTTTTGTTGCCAAAATCGATATTATAGTAACCCAAAAATAAAAACAGAATAAACAAAACACATGCCAAACGGGACCTCGGTGATTAAAATTTAACTAATTTTGATCACTGATCCTCAAAATGGTCCACATAAAAGGTACTACATTTTGTGCACTATTTTGACGGCCGTTAATTAAAATTTAGTTCTATAATTTGGACACTTCAATAAAATGAACAACATTTTCAAGTCAAAATCAACATTTTAAGAGAATTTACTTTTCTTAAAAAAATATTCATGACTAACTCCATGGAATTGTAAATTAGGCTACAAATATCCATATATTTGTAATTTTTGCTTTACTTTACTATATTTATTTCAAAGTTGCAATCTCAAAGTAATAGTGTGCTATGGAAAAAAAAAAGAAAAAGAAGAAGTAATAGTGTGTTGTGCTCTTAAAATAATGGGCACAAAATATAGTACAAAAATTTGTGTTAGAGAGAGGGAGGAAAATCTATTTATATATGAATAATGATATATTTACCGAACCAAATATCCGTAATAATCAACGAATCTGACATGACATAGCCACGTAATTCATTTAAACTCATTCAAGTGAGAGACCAAAAATTCCTGAGAAGCTAAAACAATTTATCTTCTCTTTCTTCCTTTTCGCTAGTGAGTATCTTCTCTTTCTTTCTCTTCGCTAGGGACTCGCTCTCTCGTCAAAATTTCCTTTCATTCATCGATTATTGCTTTTCTTTGTCCGATTTCTGGCTCTCTCGCTCTTTGATTTGGCATCTCTATTTGGGAATCTAAATTTATAAGCCATAATCTTCTTAGCCCTAATTTGACTTAAAGAATATGGAAATAATATGCTGGACAAACATGTTGCGGGCCAGTAACTTATTGGATTCTTCTTCTACAGAGGTCAGTGGTGGTTATAACGGTTTTTTTTTTTTTTTTTTTGAACCAAGAAATATATCAGTAAAGAGTTAGCGGTAAAAAATGATGGCACAAATTCAATACAACAGAAAACACATGTACATTAATATCACTACAAATGGCTAACAAGAATATATAAAATAAAAAAGGGAGAAAATTAATATTAGAACTAAGAAAATTAGGGCTTAAAAATTAAGAATTTTTTTTTTTTTTTTTCTTCGAACGGTGGCTTATAAATTTAGATTCAGATAGAAAAGGGGTGCAAGAAATTAAGATGATAGATCGGAGAGAAAAGAGTAATAATCAGATAGGACAAATCGACCGGAGTCCAGAGAGCAAGAGAGTCCTAAACGGAGAGGAGAGATGAGAAATTGTTTTCGTCGTATTAAGTGACATATCCACCTTGGATTCGGTGATTTTTTTGGTTGTTAGGTTCGGTAAATGTATTATTATTTTTTATATATTACATTGTATTCATTAGAGATATTACAATTTATATAGTCACTGCATAAATTAATTAACCAATGAGTATGCCACTATATTAATATAAGAAAATTTGAAAAGATACTGAAAAACAAAGCTGACCTACCAAATTTTTTTTATAGAAATAAGAACACAGATTCACGGAGACCCCACACGCATGTAATATTTATTATATTAATACATTATTTCTTAATTTGAATAAGTTAAAGTTTTCCACTCATAATATATGTAAAATTATTAGTTTGAGGATGATTAATACAACATTTATTTTAGAAAAAATTACAAAATAAGGACTTTTGGAGCCTATTAACAAAAAGGTGGACTCAAACATGAAATTTTAAGAAAATGAATCATCCTTAAATGGCTAACGTGTATATAAAAAAATATTGTTTATTTCATTCAAGTATCCAAACTATAATTACAATTTTAATAATTGGTGATTGAGATTTAACTAAATTTGGTCAGCGATCGTCAAAATGGTTCGCATAAAAGATATAACTTTTTGGGCACACCATTCTGACGACTATTGATTTAAAATTAGGTTCTATTTTTTATCATTGATTGCTGGAATAGTACAGATAATTTGGACACTTGAATAAAATGAGTAGTGTTTTTCAAGTTCACAAAAGCATTTTAAGAGAATTAATTTTTTTAAAAAATTCATAACTTTAACACCATGTAATTGTAAATTAGGCTATAAATATCCATGTATTTGTAATTTTTCCTTTATTTTGAAGTTGGATTCTCCAAGTAAATTGTATTGTGCTCTTAAAATAATGGGCACAAATTATAGTAAAAAAAAATTTGTATCAGAGATATCAGTCCAGGTTTCACCATTGTTTGAGAGAGAGAAAACTCCATAAATACCAGCATTATAATTCATTAGACAAATTACAATTTATATAGTCATACATACATAATTAACCAACGAGTATGCCTTTACAACTGTAAATTCCTCGAGTATTGGAACCCCATGATATGACTCGAGGATGCCCCCATTCTTATAATTATTATTATTTTTTTCACCCCATCGTTATTCATACCGTACACAAATTCTGCTCCAGAAAAGCATGTGTCCAATTAATTTCACCCCTCCTGTCTACAAACAAAAACATGAAGTTAAAAGCTTTGTATATAAGCCACATTGACATAGTCAGCATCACACTAAGTCACTAACAGTGTCCCACAGTTTTTAAGTTATATATGAAAGCATGCATCACACACACATTCAAATAATATATGTGTACATGTGTGTATATATAGTGAGATGGAAACAGATATATACTTGAAGCAGTCAGGGATGCTGGCTTTGGAAATGCTGGTACTACATGTGATAATGAGGGCGGGGAGAGAGCCCCCAGCAGAAATGGGACTGGATTCAAGGGTGTCGATACCGAAACCCGCTGCAGAGGGGCCTTTAAGAGCTGATTTGATGCACTTGCAAACGTCCTGGTTATCTTCACTGAGGAGGGAACTAATCCCGCTGCAACATTTCTGAGTCGCCTGATCACCTTTCCGAAGGTAGTTTAGGCATGGCCCCAATTTGATCGCCACCTTGCTGCAAGAGATCAAAGCTTGGGCATGGGCATGGGGTAGTGGTGCAGTCACCACCGTACACACCAGCACCACACACAACAACATAAGCATCCTTGGCCTAGACATTGTAATGATCGACTAGCTATATGATAAATTAATTAACCTCAAAAGCAAGACTTTTTAAAGCAAACAATAACACATCTCATGCAGTACACTCTTGGCATTGGGTATATTTGTTGTGAAAAAGCTAATCATGTGTTGTGTTTATATATTGATTAGTGGTGAGTAACGTTTCAAGAGAATATATGTATATGAGAATTGTTAGTTGTTTGGCCCCAAGTTAGGAGGCTCCATTTAGTGCTTGTATTGATAATTTCTAATTGAAAGGGCCTAGTAGTCTAACATCTCACTATAAAATTTAATTGGCTGAAGCTATATTGTGATCACCTAACCATATATAGTTAAATCCAATTACAGGAGTCTAAAGCAATTTCCAACATTTTCTTTAACTATAAGACCTTATGGAGTAGAATACATGTAATTCATGGGAGTCCTTATCGAGCCATTATGCTGGGCGGTGGCTGTAATACCACCTAATTTTGGAACACGGATTGATCAAGTCCGCGCACAAAATCAAGGGATATCAAAACAATTTAAGTATTTAACAAGTACAGAATACAAAGAAGAATAAGAAAGAATAAATAAACCGCTGAAGAAAACCAATAAATAAATATTACTTAATGATTCTCCAACAATTACAATTCGGAAATCCCATAACTCAAGGACCCCCTTAAAACATTATCCAATAATCCAATACTATTTAAAAGTACACAAGATGAATAGACGAATGACAGTCTCCCAGCTGCGGATCCTCAACCTCGAGACTGGAACCTCTAATAACCTGAAAAATAAATCGTGGGTTAAACCCTACGAGCAAGTTCACTCTACCAGGTCTCTGAAAACCAATAAGCAGATCATCTCTGATCAAAACCAAACCTAATAAAGTTTTAACTTTAATAAAGCACGATATACATGTCTATATATAATTATATATACTATACTAATCACATCCATTAATAGGTTTATTAAATTTCCATACCTATTAAATAATTATTAAAATAATATTCATACCTAGACCAATCTACCATTTCATTTTATAAAAACTCCTTTGACCTTAATCCCATCCTAGTCAGTTGTTTAATCATTTAAACAACAAATTATAATAAAAGAAATACTCTATTTAATCCCAACCCGATAATGATTTTAATTGTTTAAATCACATATCCAAAATCCAAGTTTTGACAAATCATCCACGTCTTCCCCAATATTATTTTATTAATGTAAAATAATACACTAACCAGTAAGTACTAAACTATTCTCATTTAAGAATATCTAACCCTAATCCAATCCATACATACAACAACCATAGATGATATTTTAATCATCTAACACATAACAACGTAATTATGCTTTGGCAAATCAACCATGCCATTGTAAATATTTTTATTTATATATTGGCAATTCAACCATGCCTCCATAAGTATATTTATTTATACATTGGCAATTCAACCATGCCTCCGTGTATGTATATTTATACATTGGCAATTCAACCATGCCTCCACAGGTATATTTATTCATACATTTAATTAGCAATTCATCCATACTTTCCATATATGTATTCTATTCATACAAATATTTAGGTAATATATTTAATCATTTGACAATTCATCCATGCCCACACTTTAACCATAAATTAACTTTAAAATTAACAATACGCTAAATCATACATAGCCATCACATGCATATTATACGCATATCATTAATTTAACAACCAGCCTATTAAGATATGCCAAATAAGAATGATAATATTAATCATCTTAAATGATTTATATATATATATACCTACACATATGTTATTTAATGTATATATGTGTTTAACACCTTCTTTAATAATCCTTGATTATTTAAAATCAATATACATACATACATACATACATATATATATATATATATTCATCCTTCCATACAACTCATAGACAAATTAAACTATATATACCCATATATAAATAATTATATATATATATATATATATACACACTTCCTTCCATAACAAATTATTAATTTATTATATTTACACAAATTAGTGCAACTAAATATGTCAGAAATAGTTTCCTTTAAATACTCCATATTGGTTTAAATAGTTTTCCGACAATTTCTCACTAAAACATAAATATCTCCTAGTAAGATGGGAATCTGATAATGAAATTGGTACCATTGGAAAGAAGACGAAAAATTCTTGAATTTGAGCTCAAGAATGACCCAATTTCGATTTAAAATGACTAAGTTATGACCGTTTTAATTTCTAGTGTCGAATTAGGCCAACATAGTTTTCCACGCGCGCCCACGTGCTTACTATGCACTTGCACGCGCTGGATTCAAGCCTCCTTGTGTGCTGGTATTGGCTAAGCTCTTTCAGCTACCGTGAGCTCACCACACTGAATCCATTACTTCCTTTATGCCGCATCCAATGGTCATAAATGAGTGCGCAAATGAACACGCTCACACTAGATTATTTTCTATTAACTATAATAGATCTAAGGTCCAGATCAGCGAGTGCACCATCTTCTCATGGTCTGCAATACACCAAATAATCCCATAGTTGACTAGACCACTTTTATGGTCCAGATACACATGCGCACCAAAGTTTTATGCGCCGCGATGCACCATATCAATTCACATAAGTTTAATTAATCAAATGGCCCTAATTGGCGTATACACCCTATTATCCTACACCGCGCCGCACTGGATCAATTCTTTATTGTGCCGCCGCTCCACATGCGCCAGTTACCTAGTATATATATATATATATATATATATATATATAATTATTTTCCTAACAAATAATAGGAAAATAAATCCTAATAAATTCCTAAAAATATCAGAAAAATTCCAGAAAATTACAGAACAATTCTAGAAAATAAAGAAACCATAATTAACTCTCTTGGGTCACAAATCCACCTATAGATTGATTTTAAAATATACATAACACCTATATATATCAATTAAAATCCAATAATCTAAAAATCAAATATAATAGTTTATACTTTTTAATTATTCCGATCTAACCATAATTTTTAAACAAATAAATTTAATTAAAGCCTTGATACTCAAGGTGAAATCCTTATGAGTTCTAAGAGGAAAGTTAGAGAAAACTCGCCTGAAGGTTTCGAAACGAAACCGACGCTTTAAGCTTTAATTATCTCTTCCAATTCCGACGTCCTCCTTTTCAGATCCGACCTCCTCCTTGTCAGCCCTTCTTCTTCCTCTCTCTCTGTCTGTTTTATTTTTCTAACGTGTAAAACCTTTAACCCTAAAGTCTTATGTGTATTTTTATACACCTTAAATTCCAAATCCTATTCCAACTAGTATTATGAATTAAAATAATAATCTTTAAATAATTTATATCTATAAACATATATATATATATAAATATATATTCCTTCCATAATTAACTCATTAGTTAATTAAATCATATATACTTATAAATATCAATAAATATATATCTATATATATATCTTTTCATAACAATTATTAATTAATTATATTTATATATAATTATATATATATATATATATATATATATATATAATTGATACAAAAGTGATCATGTAAATAATTAAATAACCACGGACCTTCATTAATTAACCCAATAAGGTTTCATACAAGCCCAAGACCACATCTTTTGGTCCAACTTTCCTTAAGCCCAATCCAATTAATTTAAATAAATAAGATAATTAATTAAATACAGAAATTAAAATACTAATTACATGAAGCACATAAACAAACAAGAATTTACAACTAAGTCATATAATACCAATAAAATCAACACACCAATAATTCAATCAATAATCAACCACACAAACAATCAATCATCATACATAATCACGAAATATAACTTAATTAAAATAAGATAATTAATCTAGCACTCAATAAAATAAAATAAATCATTGAAAAATAAAATAAAATAATTAATCCTAATTAATAAATCTTTTAAAATTATCGGGGTATTACATTCTTTCCCCCTAACAAACGGAATTCCGTCCTCGGAATTCACAAATCCATGAAATAAAACTTTGATTATTTAATTTCAAATTTCATTATTCCTTTTATCCGTGTGGAAATTAACCCATCCACACATATTCATTATTAGCAGACACATCACGTAATTAGCTAATTCCATATTTATATAATTGATAAATATAAGTACACACTAGAGACTCTCACTGGACTAAAGCAGCTTCAACCGGATAGTGGGTATCTCATGTAAAACGCACACAAAGGTGGTTACGAGTCCTCCTTCTACCAGAGCCCACACATCCTTAAACCCAGCTACCCATCTCAATCGGCAATATACGCCTCCATCCTAACCACTGATCCTGAAACTCAAGCTTATATCATGGCCCATATATGTGTGTGTGTATATATATATATATATATATATATATATATATATATATATATAATCCATTATATCCACAGAAAAGTAAACTATCCAACCATATTATTTCAATGGCATACCATCCAACTATTCCGTTGACCTGACACGAATAAGTAGGACTTAACGCTATGGTTAATCCGTTCCCTTATAAATATATAGGTAGGACTTAACTTCTTTGGTTAATCCGTCCCTGAAATGCCACCGTCCCATACCGGTGTATTAAACCATACCATTCATAAATAAATAGGTAGGACTTAACTATTCCGTTAATCCGTCCCTAAAATACCTCCATATTATTTTATTGGTGCATAAATCCATAAAACCCATACTTCAAAATTAGGGGAAGACTCAACGATTTACCAATACCTTCTAAATCGATGTCTTACCATTTTCCTGATAAGACTCAATGATTTACCATTAGGACACACTAACGGACCGAATATAGAATACAATGAATCCTAAACTTAAGCTCTAAGTAAAAGAGTACACAACGCGGAAGTCACACAACGAAAGACACCCTAGGGACACTTGAACCTGGAGTGCTCTGATACCAACTGTGATACCCCCTAATTTTGGAACACGGATTGATCAAGTCCGCGCACAAAATCAAGGGATATCAA